TTTAGATTTGTTCACATTTTCTTTATATAGGGTCCAGCAGAAGTAAGGCCTGCTTGAGTGTGGTTGGTAGGGTAATATAGGTGTAATAATTTATAGTTTTAATTTGAATATTTCACCTAAGATGTCATATGGTGTGTTTGAGTGTGATATTATTATGTTACAGAATTACATGCTTATGATTTTGTAATAAAAGATTTTGTAATAAAAGAGGGGAATTATTTATGCTAGACCCTGTATATTTAAGTGCTCCTGTGTTGAGTTTTGTATCTTCTTATTGTTAATGTTCTACCTTCTTACTGGATTGACCCCTTTTTAATTATGTATTGACCTTCTTTGTCTCTTATTACAGTTTTACTGTATAGTCTTATTTTATCGGATATGACTGTAGCTATCAAAGTTTTCTTTTGGTTTCCATTTGCATCTTTTTCCTTCCCTTCATTTTTAGTCCATCTTTGTCCTTACTACTGAAATGAGTCTCCAGTAGTCAGCAAATAGATGGGTCTTTAAAAAAAAAAGAATCCATTCAGCCACTCTGTCATTTGGTGGGAGAATTTAGTCCTTTTACTTTTGAAGTAATTATAAGTATGTACTTAGTGCCATTAGAAATATTTATTAGGTATTTTGTAGCTATTCTGCTCCTTTCTTCTCTTATTCTCTTCCTGTGTGATTTTATGAATTTCTTAGTGGTATGCTTAGTCTCCTTTCTATCTTTTGGGTAATCTACTATAAATTTTTGCTTTGTGGTTGCCATAAGGATTACTTACATAAGACAACTTATATTTTTAAGTCTATTTTAAGTTGATAACATATATGAATGCATTCTAAAGCTCTACATTTTCCCCTCCCCTGCTATTTTGTTTTTGATGTCACAATTTATATCTTTCTATCCTGTGTATCCCTGAAGAAATTTTTAGTTTTATTCTGACTACTTTTGCCTTTTAACCATCATACTATCTTTATGTGATTAACCCACTACCTTTACAATGTTAAATTATTCTGCATATTACTATATATTACCTTTACCAGTGAGATTTAATCTTTTATGCGCATATATTGTCCTATTACTAATTAGTGCCCTTTCGTTTCAGCTTATAGATGTCCCTTTCACATTTCTTCTAAGGCTAGTTAGTGGTGATTGACTCCTCTTTAGCTTTTGTTTGTCTGGAAAACTCATTTCTCCTTCCACTGTGAATGACAGTTTTGTTGGGTATTCTGGTTAGAAGTTTTTTTCGTTTCAGTACTTTTTTTAAAAAATAGTATTTTCAATTATGGTTGACATACAATATATGGATTTCAGGTGTACAACGTAGTGATTCAGCATTTACATACCTTATGAAGTGATCACAATAAATATAGCAATCATCTGTCACCATATATTATCACCATTACTGACTATATTTCCTGTGCTGTATATTACATTCCTGTGACTTACTTTATAACTTAAAATTTGTACTTAATTCCTTTTACCCTTTCTGCCTGTATTTTTTGTGTCAGTCCCTTCTGGACTGAAGTTTCTGCTGATGATGTTATGAGGGTTCCTCAATATCTTTAGGTTTTGAAACTTAATTACAATGTGTCTTGGCATGCATTTCTTTGGGTGTTTTTTATTTGGAGCTCTTGGCATCCTGAATCTGGATGCTGCATAACCTGGAGAAGGAAACAAGTTTTCAGCCATTATGCTTTAAGTTTTCTGCCCCTTTTTCTTTCTCTTCTCCTGGGATCACTTTAGTGCAAATGTTGGTCTGTTTGATGGTGTTCCCTAAGTTCCCTAAGTTCCTTTCACTTTTTTCTGTTTCCCGCCCCCGCCCCCGCACCCCCCGATTAGATTATTTTCACTGCCCTGTCTTTGAATTCACTGATCCTTTCTTCTGTGAATACCTCAAATGTATTTTTCTGTGCAGTTATTGTACTCTTAAGTTCTGTGACTTTTATTTGGTATTTTCTTATTTCTACTTCTTTGTTGAAGTTCTCAGTTTGTTCATTCTTTTCCCAAGCTTGGTATCTTTGTGACCATTATTTTGAACTATTTAACAGGTTAACCACTTCATTTCATGAAGCTCTTTTTCTAAGGCTTTGGCTTGTTCTTTCTTTTGGAATATATTTAATCAGTTCTTCATTTTTCTTGGCCTCTATGTTAGTTTCTATACATTAGATAAAAGAGCCACCTCTCCCAGTTGGAAGGAGGGAGTCACGTAGGTGAACCTGTCTGTTTAACTCTGCCTGCCTTGTCCTAATTCTTGGTTTTCTCTTAACTTTTTGTAATTGTCTGAGCAGCCTATTTTACTTTTAGAGGCTCCCACTAGCTGGGGGTGTGTCAAGACCTGTCAGTGTCTCAAAGGGGAGGATCTCAGCACCTAGATTCAGGTTGACTGGAAGCCAGACTCTCAGGTGGCAGCTTTTAAAGTATGCAAATATTAATACATACAGTCCAGTGGGACCTGAAATGTAAGCCTTGTTGGCCACCAGGACCAAGCAACCTACAGGTATCCTTTGCATGGCAGCCAAAAAAATTGAGGTGTCAAATGAGAGTATGAGCTCCTTTCTGGAAGATATTGGCCATTTGTAGCAAGGAAGAGGAAGACTGTAAAGATGACTTCCACCTTGACCCCGGACAGTGTGTCTGTAGGCTCCCAGATGTGTGTTAAATAAGATGCCTGCCCCTCAGGCCAAAGTTTTAAGATAAGCCGATTAAGCTCTTTCACAAAAAGGCTGGGCCTTTTCAGTCAGGTGCCTATGCAGGGAGCCCTGAGGTGGGTGTATCCACTGGTCCTTTAAGAGCTGTTTTTCAGTTCTATAGCTTTTTGGGTCTCATAGACACAAGCCCCATTGCCTTTCAAAGATACATGTTTTGGAGGTTCATCTCTCAAGCACAGGTCTTAAAATTTAAAGTACCCAATGTGAGATTCAAACTCTTTGCTCCTCAGGGAAAGGTCTGGGTTGCGAGCTCCCTGTTGATTCTGGGCTCGCTATGTTGGAGGTGGAGATTTTTGGTGAGATTGTGGTTAGCGTCTCCTACCTGATGTGATGTGGGTTTTTCCTTGTTTGTTTGATGTGTAGGAGTCATTCAGTCACTCGTTTTTGTTTTTGTTTTTTGTCTTCAGAGGAAACTGTTCTATATGTAGCTAAAGTTGTGGTGTGTCTGTGGCAGGAAGTGAGTTCATGAACTTCTCTCACAATCTGATCTCCATTAGTTGAGCCCCACAGATTCTACCTGAGGTCCCCATGACGTAAGACCTCAGTGGGCCTCCTGGGAAGCAGCAACCCAGCGTGGTGGGCAAGCTGTGTGTTCACCTTGAGCTCTCTTTTTCCCACTGGAGAAAAAGCAGGCCCCAGGGAGCTGTTCGGCACAGCACTGTGCTGGTCTGCGGGAGGGGCAATGTGGCCAGGGTGTGACTGTCCCTCTTACCCTTCTTCATGTAGTCCCTCTTGGCCTCTGTGGGACAAATGGGTACTTCAGACTCACCTCTGTGTTCTGAGATTTTTCACAATTGCCTTGTTTGTGAATGTTGCTAGTTGGCCTTCTTGTGAGGGAAACTGAAGTCTGAATGACCAACGTTGCCATCTAGATGATGTCCTAAGTAGCATTTTACTGTGAAACTGAAATTCACCATCTTCTATAAACCAAGGGTATCTTAAAAATCATACTACATTTTTGCTTTAGCAAATAAAGTGGTCAAAATTTATAAACCACACTAATAATACAGAGGATTTTTCAATAAATACACATAAATATATTTGCCATAAGGCTAAATATTATACAGTATGTGACTATAACATGTAAAATAACAAACGTTCAGTCATATTTATTACCAGCTTATAGCCATCTTCTAACACAGGCATTAAAAAGTGACACATCAGGGTCGGCTCTGGGTAAGTGGTGATGCACTGTGGTGCCTTAGCTCTACTGTGGGTGATGATTTCTTGGTATGCAATGTGTTTTTAATAGAAGTCCACAAATAAAAGTCTACCAGTAAAAATGAGAAATAAATTTCATTAATCTTTGTTCTCCATTTCACATTTTGTAGTTCCTATAATGATAAAAAGCTGGAGTCTTGATATGATTAAAAAGATCTAGACTTTCTCTGTGGAACTCAGGTCAATCGTAAAACTTTGCATGTAGATGGTACTTTTGTTTGCAAAGAATGTAGAAGTTTATACTATTTTAGACTGAATGTTTGTTTGCTAACTACTCCTGCCCTTCATATGTTGAAGCCCTAAGTCACAGAGTGGTGGTATTTAGAATAAGGAACTAATTAAGGTTATATGAGGTCCCAAGGGTGGGGCCCTGGATGCAGTTAGATTATGACTGGATTAGTGTCCTTATAAGAGGAGGCATCAGAGAGTTCTCCTTGTCTCTCTACTTCCTCTCTTGCGCCCTGCAGTACACACACTGAGGAAAGGCCATCTATAAGCCAGGATGAGAACTCTCACCAGAAAATGAATCAGCTTGAACTTTGATCTTGGAATTCTAGCCTCCAGAACTGTGATAAAATTAATTTGTTTTTTAAGCCTCCCAGTTTGATATTTTGCTGTGCCAGACCAAGATGAATAATACACTGTTCAAGCACAGTTAAGTATTAGCACCAAAGCTAATGCCTAAAATTTATCATGCCCTTACTTCTGTCATTTTTCATTTCTATTAATCCATCTGTTTGTGAACAGCAATGATACTACTTGTGCGAGGCACATAATAATTTAAATGATCACATTTTAATGTAGATCTTTCTTACAAACATTTACTGAAATCACTTGAACTTTTTAGAGACCTACCAATAATTAAGAACATGATATGAGTTGTTTCTCTGTTTTTCTACATATAAGGCAAACCAATCTTCGGGTATTTGAGATTTATAGTCACCTTAAAATTGTTAGTAAGATCAATATATAATGGAAACATTTTAAAAAGTTAAGTTTTGCAAGGGACAACAAAACTATAGCAAACAGGAGGTACTTAAAAGTGAAGAACTATCCAAATATGTAAATGTGATTTACTACTTTACCTGTTGAAGTTCTTGCTCTCTTTGTTTATGTCTCATTTCCATCTGTTTAATTTTCTTTTCTAAGTCCATGAAATGTTTCATCTCTGGTGTATGATTTTCTTTGGCCTCTCTCAATTCTTCTAAGAGTTTTGTAATCTAAAATTGATGTATGAAATAAATGAAAAATTATGATATGGAAATAATTCATTTTTAACAGGTAGTCCTAAGAAGTAAGAATGTTAACCACATCTTCTGAACTGACCTCACATTCCAAAAGGTTTCAGATACTTGGGCCACCTTTCCCTCCCAAATGTGCCATGCTGGTTTAAGGCATTCAGAATTAAGCCGGTCATTTTCTTTGGTGTATTCAGCTTTGCTACAAAGTATTCGTTAATAGAGTGATTACTTTTAAGATTAAATAATACAAAAAGAGCTCAGAAAATATTGCTCCTTCTGTCAACTTCCCATAATCCTATTTGTAATTCTCTTCTGGTTCATATCATTTTATACTTTATAATTCATTCCACAAATAAATGTATGCATATAAAATATGAGATAATGAATTAATAAACTTTCTGTGCTCGCTGCTGTCTTAAATCCTGAGGCTGCAGAGACGAAAGACACATGGGAAGTTACCGTCTAGTGCAGTACCTCCTTTTTCATACCATGGCCCACAGAGAAAGAGGTAATATCTTATGTCACTAGGGAGTTAAATGGAGAGGATGTGAAGCTTCTTTATATTGAGCTTGATGAAACAACTGCCTGTATTTTCTTTATACCATATAATTATAATTTGCTAATTGTTAACATTGAAAGGCAAAATAAGTGACAAGCAAATGAAAACAGATAAAATTAACAAATTCAATTATACTTTACATGGAAACATCCAGTACCTGATAACACCGATAATACTAAACACACACACTTTCTTCCTAAGTTAGTTTTAAAAATGTAAAAATACAAGCAAATTAAGTCAGAGGCAAATCTCAGTATTTTAAATGTGAAACATTCCTGACCCCAAAAAATATGCAGACTTTAACTGGATGACATGCAGAAAGGTCACAGAGGCTTTACAGGGTGCTGTGGTGATGGGTGGAAGGCATAAAACTGTAATATCAAAATAATCATCACTAAGAATTGTAAAAAACCGAAAACAAATAAAACAATGATTCTAAACTAAAAAAGTTGTCAGTGGCATTGTTATACACGTAACGGTCAAATGTCACTTTAACTTCTGTAAACTTTTTAATGACTGAAAAGTGATTACGAGTTTATCGTTAGACAACATCTCCAGCCATCACTATGTCCTGTGACACAAAGGTAATCCATTTTCTGATACACAAGCTGGGAGTCCTTGGTCAAGTGAATAAAAAGCAGCTGAGTGAATGAGAATTCCAATATAATGTGCTATGATGGTGAGATGCCCAAAGAGCAATGAAGGACACCTAACTGGAAAGGGAGGTGAGCCATGGGATTCTTAATCTGAGACAGTTGTGTCTGAATCAACCTTACATTACAAGTGGTAATGAGTGATGACATTGCGTGCTAGGCACTATATTAAGTACTTTACAAATGTTGTCTTAATTTTTATCAAATATTATATTTATTTATTGTCTGATGACCCACATAAAAAACTCCAAGAGAGCAGGGATTTTGTTTACTCTGTTCACCTAATACTGTGCTCAGCAGAGGGTAGGTGTTTAAAAATTATTCATCAATTAATGAATGAATTCACCTTTCAACGATTAAACATTCATTTGTAAATTGCAGAAATTCAGAAAATTGGTTCTAAATAGAAAAAAAATTTCTATTTGTACCTACTTAAATACATCTTTAAGAGTATAAATAAGTTGAACACATATTTTTATAGAATACTTATTTTTATAAAATTCTTGCATTTTAGTGCATTTATCCTATGTAAGTACTATATTTTGCTATGTATAATGCGCACCTGTTTCTGTGTGCATTATACACAGAATTATTATACCCATGGTATGTAATCATTATACCCATGTATAATGCACATCCTCATTTTTCCCTCAAAAATTTGGGTAAAGAGTGCACATTATACATGACAAAATATGGATGGATACATAAGCAAAGATGCAAGATCAAAAACACTTCCTGTTACTTAAATACAATAGAAAAAAACTATAGTAACAACCTCAGTGTCCAATGACAGGGGCTTGGTACCCTTAGGCAAGTTGCTTAGTTTCTCTAGGATCGATTTCTTCATCTATAAAATGGGAATAATCGTACTTACCCTTTGGGGCTATGGTGAAGAACCACATACAACACTTATCACAGTGCCTCGTACGTACTAAACACTTAACACTCACTGTAACTATTATTGTTATGGTGAGTTTCCAGAAAGATCTATTTCCTGTAATTATATTCTTGGTGATCCAGTATCACTGTCATGATTACTTTATCTATTTCCTAACCAAATTAAATAGTCTTAGTACTTAATGCAGAAATGGTTTTCATCATACAATTATATGTCCTAATAGTCAACAAAAGAACCAACAATCCCATTTCCCCACTGCTCAGAAAATAACATCTGGGAAAGCAAACTTTCCATAAACATGACTTTCCATTAACAAGTTATTAATATTAACTTGATATGATATTTCTACATGTCTATTTGTACATTTAAGTTAAAAATTTATGCAGAAATATGAATATGGTTGAAATGGCTAATAGAACCTTATGTTAGCCCAGTATTTTTTGTTATTTCTTACCTCTTTCTGTAGAATTTCTTCTCGAACTTGAGAAACTACCAGAGACTCCTGTTTATCCTGCAGCTCATTAACTTGATTTTGGAAATGTTTTATAAGTACCTAGGAAATTATGTTAGGAGTACTAAGTTAAAAAAGCTTTTCCTTGAACATTAGTTGAAAAGATATAAGAAAGCCAACTAATGACTTTTGTTTGTATTAAAAAATAAAAAAAACCCCTAATTTTAAAGTTACTGAGTTATAATATAAATTGTAATAGAAATTAAGTTTATTGAATTAAACTCTTTGAATAAATTCATTGTTTTGCTTCTTTCAACATTTAATATAAATCATCACATATTACAAATTAATGACTATGTAACTACTTAGCTTCTTTATCTCTAGTACTTTTCTTCTGAAGGCCTGAAAAATACCTTTTTAAGATTGCTGAGAGGGAGGGGGTATAGGGGGACTGAAGGGTAATGGAAAAAATACAATAAAGATAAAATAAAATAAACCTCTATAAAGTCTTAAGCATTTTGAAGAAAGTGGAAATTATTATTTTCATATTTTGTGATTAAGTACAATAAAAACCTTTATTTAAGAGCTATTGACTAAATAAAGATAACAAGCTTAATATCTGTCAAATAAATGTTAGTCTCATATTTTTAGACAAAAAAACTGAAATAACTCTAAGACTTCATTTAGGAACTGAAAAAACTTAGGAAAAATTCATTTCATCTCTAATGTTTTACTGTTTTTACGATCAAACCATGCTGCCTTCTATTTAATGCACAATTTGCAATATTACATTTAGAATGCTGGGAAAGTAAAGTATTTATGCCACTATGGGATCATGGCACTACTTTGTCTACCTCTCCCAGGTGGCTCCTTACTATATAATCACGTGATATAATGTTTACACCTGCTCACTAACACTCCACTCTTATGAGGAAAAAGGCTACAGAGGTTATCTTCAAGGCTCTATAATGGTTACCTTTGAAAAGCACTTGAAATCTTTTTCACTGTTTTATTAAAAACAATCACAGTAATTTGTTTCTGAGCTGAGATTAAATTATAGAACTCATTACATTTCATCCTTAAATATCCCAAATACTTCAACATGCATCTCTTTACAAGGGTCTTTTCTCACAAAACTGCAATAACATTTTAATACCTAAGAAAATTAATAATAATTTCACATCTAATATCTAGTCCATATTCAAACTTCCCCAATTGGGGGATTTGTTTTTAATTAAGATGCTATTAAATAATTACAGGTGGCAGAGGTGGTAGTTGAGGTAATTATTTCTTGAATAATTACCTTAGCTTGCTTTTTAAAATTAAAACCTGCAAAGATGTCAAGCAGATGAACATTCATATATTCAACTTGAATTACCAACTCCTAACATTTTGCCTTATTTATTTTTTTTCTTGGATACACCATTTGAAAGTAAGTCGCACATTTATTTTAATGCTGTTTTTTTCAACTTACTAACTCCAAAGATGGTCCACATGGTAGACATTCATAGATATCCGAGAAGGAAGACACTTTTGAGGAAGTTGCAGATGAGCTGTCGGCATACTCTGTCATAATTTTTAAAAGGCTGTGCTTTCGTAATAGCTAGAGCTGTGTACATCTCTGTTCATTATTTTATCCCCAGTGCTTGACTGTCTACAGACCCAGGATCATTATTTGTTTAATGAATAACAGTTAATGGGGCAAGAAGAATGATCAGGACAATTACTTGTCAGTTGAGATTTGGGGTAGGGGGAGATGGTTTAACATTCAAGTTCAATGACATTAGACACAGCCTTCAACCACTAATTAACACCTACTTAGAAGATCTATTTGAGAAAGACAGGGAACAAAACTGTAAAACACGTATTTAGAGGTATAACTTTAGAATAGTTAAAATATGGTAATGGTATCCTCATACAAAAATAAAATACCATTTCTATCACCAACATAAAGGGAAGTTAAAATAATTCCAAATTAATGTTTTTTTAACAGTACTAAAAAGAAAAATCATCACATTAAAATCAAAGTTTGTTAAAGTCACTTACGTCCTGAGTTGCTATTTTACGATTTAGTTCAGCTACTTTGGAAGAAGAATTTTCTACTGCATTTTGGCAAAGAAGTTTCTCTACTTCCCCCTGATGAGATGCTTTGAGAGAGATGATGTGTGCTGCAGTCTCTTCCTTCAGCCTTTAGAGCAAATGAAAGAAAACGACACATAAAAGCAGCTTTTCAACCTAATTCAGAGTTAGCACAAAAATAGTTTAAGAAGCCCAGAAGTTAAAACAGCAAAGGGAGAGAGGGCACCGATATCTACTGCACTGTGCCAGGTGACTTACACATTTATTTATGAGTTCTTACAACCACTCCATGAGCTCACAATTACTTACTGAATTTTATAAGGGCAAACTTGACTTTAGGAAAGAATGATGTATCTGGGGTCCCAGATCACTAAGTTGCAGAGATGTGGTTCGAGCCCAGCAAAGCTGAACCAGGCCAGGCCCTCCGCATCACCCCCTACTTGGTGCTGCACATCTGAGGGAATCAAAGCTTTCAAATGTTCTGTTTGGATTTAAAGCAAAGGGCCTGTCATTTTATCTTTTAAGAAAAACTCAAGATTTCTTCCCAGATTCTTACTTGGATAATCACAGTTGATCTCTTTAAAATCACCAATGCTTTGTCTAGGCATCATTCTACAGTTTTTGGCCCATGCATATGACTCTGAGCTAGTTGCATGTTGTGAGAATAAAATTGCTTTTGCAGTAATTCTCAGGACACAGGGTAACTGAACCTAATCTGGGCTGTGAGAGGCTATTCATTTGTCTCTGTGACAAAGTTTAGCATTCAGAGACAGTTTAGTAAATGGTAAAGTTACAACTAAAGAGCTGATATATTTCTTATAGATAAGCATTTCCTCTCTTATTGGAAATATTATTTAAAAAAGGCAGGATTGTAATCAAAAGATATTTAGTCACTATCGGATACCTATTAATATAACAATTTCAAAGTTACAAACAAATGTATCAATTGCTTATTTGATTATATGACTATTTTGAGTAGGTCCTAAGAAGAGCATCAAAATCTGGAGCACCCATGATGTAACTGTTCATAATTAAAAAATGGCCTAAATATGGTACTAGGAAAGGTTATTTCTTATTTCCCAGACCCAGAGCTGTCTGAGAAACAGATTAACAATACTAAAAAATTATAAATATGTACAAAAAAATTTATAGGAAAAACCTGAATTATTTCTACCAAAGAATGTGATTCTTTCCAAATAGCTTAATTGCTACTATGACATTCAGGACTGTACGAAAAAAGTTTCAACTTGGAAGCAATATGGTCACCATGACGACTCAATGAGACATTGCTGCCAATCAATAAGTGTTTGTTCGGTGCTTCCTATGTTTATTTTTCTTCCTATGCTCTCTTCCTGTGTCCCACCTACTCCTTCATGCAGGCAGTCAATACTCTGTGAGACACCTCCAACTTTGTGTTCCTTAAGTCAGTTTAATGTATTGAAGTCCTAATCTTTGAAGGTCATAACATTATAGATTCTCAACATATAATATTGTAATTAATATGTTGCTTCCTAAACATTAAATTATGTGTTTTTGTACACCCTAAAGGATTTAAAATCTCACAAATTTATTACTGTTTACTGGTTGCAAAAGGAAGCATAGTCTTACATCAGTTCTCAAGGAGCTATAAGGCAGAGTTATGATTAGTGCTTTCTTGGTATATACTCATGAATTATGTGAAAGCTGGGAGGTAGAAGCAGGAAATTTCCTGGCAGGTATAGGAAATAACTTGTGGAAGAGGTAGGACCCGAAACATGAACAAGCAAAAGGCAGTGATGAAATTCAGCAAGTTAGGCTAAGAAAGTGAGATTCCTGAGGAGGGAGAATGAAGAGGAGTCACAAGTCAGTTAAAAGGAACAGAAAAAATGTTTTAGAGCTGCCAAGTCATGGAGGTTAGGGGAGGCCACCACTCAGGAAAGGCAGTGTGGTCAACAATGTCAAGGAGAATGAGGGTGGAGAAAACTCTGCTGGACTGGGAAGGTCAGTGACCAGGTTTAAAAGAATAGTGAGGATGAGAGCCATATTTAAGAGGAAGTGAGATGGAAATCAAAGAGGCTACTTGTGGAAAATTGGTACAGAAAGACAGCAAAAGAGGACTAGAACTTGGTTTGCTCAGGTGAAAACAATCTGAGCATGCGAAACACCTGAGGAAACAGACAGCCGAGCACACCTGGAGATTCTGAGAGTACCTGGTGATTACAAGTTCTTCAAGGCATGAAATGGATGTGATCACAAGATTAATCTGAAGAGTTATTTTGGAAAAAAGGACCATTTCCTCTTAGAATGTCAACTCGTTTTTGTAATAGCTATTTTTTGACAGCATTCTGCCTATGGCAATCATAAATAATGATACTCATTTGCAAGAAAGCCCAATGGGTCAGCTTACTAACACCATTTAGATACACGCAGAAAGAAGACAAGACTGGTCAGCCCAAGGCTATAACTTGGGTTGACATGGAGATTGAGGTTCATCAGAATCTGGCTTCCAAAAGGTAGAGGATCCTAGTCAGAAACAGATCTCTGCCTAGCAATGTACTACAATCTCTTTTTTCAATTATGAACTCAGTTCAGGGTATAACTAATTATTCAGAGATAAAACATCTTGTAATTTAAAAACTTGTATCTTTTCATCCCCATGCATTTAAAAATTCACATTTTACCTTTTTATGGAATTCTCAAACTGTTTCACAGCTTCTTCAGATTTCATCTTCAGCTCATTCCTCTCTACAATTAATCTCTCCAGCTCATTTTTCAATCTGCAGTTTTCTTGTAAAACCTCTGAAATATGGGAATCAGTAAAAGTATGCGGTTGGTAAAGCTTGCCGCCCAGGGTTCCAGGGAAGGAGTTAGCATTTCCTTTATCTGGGTGCAAACCATCTTTCTTCATCCTTTTTGCAGTCCTTTCCTCCCTACCCTTAGAGTTCTGATTAGACAGCATCATTCTTCTCGCCTTCTGAAGCCTTTCCACAGTTTTTGAAAGGTCTTGTATTTCTCTTCCCTTTGCAGCCAGCTCTTCATTGAGTCTTACCAGTTTAGCTTTAGCATTAGCCTGTTCCACCTGGAATTCTATAGACTGGAAATCTTTATCATCTTTATTATTTTTCTTGAGTTCTAATTCAGCATTCTGATGTTTAAGCCTGTCTATTTCCGCTTCAAGGTTTCTTACAGTAATTTGATGGGCTTCCTTAATGTCATCGAGTTCCTTCTCTAGTGCTTTAAGCCTGGAGGAGTTGTCAAGTTGGTTCTGAGGTGCTTCCTTCAATTTGTGGGCAAGTAGCTGCTCCTGCTCCTCTAGCCTCTGTTCATACTGGATCTGAAAAAGAGAATGCACATAATGCCAAACCAGTGCTAAAATATTTCATTAGTTACTGAAGCAACCATATTATCAGGACCCACCTAATCCTTCATTCAGGTACTTATTACACCATTCTTATGCCTCCAACTCTGTGTTCTTTGAGTCAGTCAAATGTATTGAAGTCCTAATCTTTGAAGGGCAGAACATTATATAGTCTAGATACATGTTATATAATTTTGGAATTAATGTTACTTCAACATTAACTTATGCGTATTTTTGTATACCCCAAAGCTTATTTTAAACCTCATAATCAAACCTACTAGTATATACCCTTCTCTACGCAAACTGACAAACTATATACGTTTTGAGGAATAACAGGGAAAGCAATTGGTGGTCCTGAAGTATTTAGGGCAAAGCACATTTTCAGCTTTCTAATATCAATTTAGAAATCTCACAGGGAGCAAATCAGTCAGCTTGAAATTTATATCCTTGAGATTTTTATTATAAATGAAATAACTTTATAGTTTATTCCGTGGAAAGAGGCACTAATAGTATTTGTTCATTTATTCAATGAATATTTATTTAGCTAGGACTGTGTGCCAGGCTCTGGGCCAGATTCTAGAGATACAGAAACTCAGTTCTTGCCTTCTAGACATTCACAGCCCGGTGAGGAGGCTGACACGGCCACAGTTTCAATAGCTTGCGGTAAATGTGATAGTGGGCCTTCGAACATGTAAATTTCAGTGAAAATATTTTCATCTGTGGTAATTAAAACATTTTTATGCTGAATATATATGTAGGAGATGCTTTACTCTGCTTTGTCATGACTTTATACTAGTTCTGATATCATCAAGAGGAGCTTATGTAAAGACTATCCTGTACTTGATTATTTCATATTTGAAATACCGAAGGAGGACAAAAGATAGGATGCATCCAGGTTTCTTTTACATCTGACTATAATGGTAGAGGTTTTGTGAGAAAGAGCTGTTAAAAATCAGATCTAAGAAGTCCCTGCTCCCACAGTCCATCTCTGAGCCCCATCCCTATGGCTACCTGGCACTTACTTTCATTTTCTGAAACTGTTGTTCCATGGTACGAAGGCTTCTCTTTGCTTCTTCGTCTTTGCCCTCCAGATCAGTTTCTAGTTTTTTTATCCTTTTTTCCATAAATTCCACTGTATTTCTGTCCACTGTATCACCAGCCGCTGATGCAGCCAATATTAAAGCAGGTAGAGAATTAGGATATCTTCTTTTTAGAATTCCTTCCATTTCCTTAACCTATTAAAATATTTTTGATAATATATAAGTTTACAAATATAATTAAGTTTAATATAGATTATGCTATATCAGTTATGCCCAGATTTTACAGATGCTAGATGCTTTTATCACATCTCAGGACTAAACTGAATGCACAGAAGTACAGAATAACTTCAAATTTTATATCCTTAGATTATTTTATTTAAAAACCCTACAGTATACTATCTAAGTACTAGTGAATTTACAGATATGCTACATTCATTTGAAATAGATCTTGGGACTGTTTTACCAGTAATAACCAGTCTTTTCGAGGACACAGCTCTTTTCCCTCCTTTTTTTCCTACAGACCCCCTCAAATGATAGCGCTTATGCTGTCTACTGACTGAAATACTACTTATATGTACATGAACGTACAAACTTAACTGCAATGAACATACCTTCCTAAGCACCTGCCTCGTCCTGCAACCATCTCCACCCTACCCTAACCCCACCTCCAGAAGTACCCCCTCAAATGAAGTTTAAATTGACCTCAATTACGAAGGAGGATTAGAGGACAAAGACTCATGTTCATTTAGTCTATAAAACAACTACATATTATATATTCTTTCTGTACATGAGAATGGCACCAGTGTCTATAGAAATTGGAGTTTGATTTTACATGTGCATATGTTTGTATACCTTCTTTTGTTAAAGGTATTGTGGTTAAGATATCTTTGAAAAACATAAAACACTAAATTCTTTGGTTTAACAGTTTTCTAACCTCTGAGTATTGCGATCAAATAAAATAGCTCCTGAGAGGCAGTCTAGTGCAGTGGTTAGGGCACATCTGTTGTTAGATGCTGCCACCAGCTTTATGGTCTGTGTCACCTCCTCAGTCAAAATCTCTTTAGCCTCACTGGTAAAATGGGCATGATAACCATACCAATTTCATGGCACTGGTACAATTAAGTGAGAAACAAATGGCATTTATTTTGTTAAAGTGCTTAGCAGAGTGCTCAGTATATAGGGAGGGCTTGAAATGTGGGCTTTTATTATAATCTGGTCTCAAAAACTATCTTAAGACAAGAGGGATTGCTGGTGCTCAAAATCCTGTTTATAAATTGAACATTTTTCATATTAAATATTTAAGTGTCACATCATTTTCAAAGTTAACAGCAAATATTTCCATTCGTAACAACTGCTTGCATATTCACTGATGTATCATAAACTGGGATATGGCCAGCTGTAAGTATTAATAACTTATTTCATCTGCAAAACTTTCAAAGCTTCGCTTCCTCTGGTATTTAAAACCTAGTTATCTGAAATAGATATAAGCATATAAAGGTATATACATATATACTACATGTATTAAAAGGAGATCTAGATTTTAGTTGCAGCATTTGGGACAACTGTAATAGAATAAACAAAAACAAAAAAATTTAAAATAAAAAAATTTTAAAAGTGAATTTGTTTGCACATTTTCACAATGCATTCATTTAAAATTTTAAGAAATACTTTTGATCTGATTTAGATACCTTGAAATGTATATTACATTTTTGGGGAATCAGATTTTATTTGTATCTTCTTTAATTTTTCTTTTTTATTGTTATTCTTTAATCACTGATACTGGTGTGGCTGTCTTACAATGTAGATTTTTTTGTTTTTTTAAAAAAAATTCTCACTGGAAATTAAACTACAGAATATTAAATGAAGCATGAACAAATGCACACACTCTGAAATTTTCATTAAAATGTGCATCTAATTAGCCAATTTTACTTATGTGCTCTTTAGGAAAGAAGATATTTTATTCTGTAATCTATTTCAGAATATATGGCTCCAAAATGATTCTGAGTATGATACTCTTTGATTATAAAATATATATTAAGGTTTAAAATCATTAGGATAGAAATGTTCATGGGAATAGAATCAGGATCTAAAATATACATGCAGCAAACTTTACAAAATACTATTACTGATAATATTTGAGAAGGATATAACTTGATGAGTAAATTTTTAATACAAGTGTTAATAAAAGGGAGGCTATTTTTATAAAATGTATTTCTGGTCAATATTTATCAGCATTTCACATCTTTATTTTGCTATTAAGCATGTGTAGTATTTTTCTCACACACTCAGTTCTACAGTATTTCTCTTAAAATAATTTTATCTATTAGAGAAGTATTTCCTTTGGTCTTTTTCCTTTCACAATTTTGGTTGGCTAATCCATTTTGACTAATCTAAATCTTAAGCATACAAAAAGAAGCCAAGGAATCCTAGACTACAGTTATTTTAGAATATTTTTAGCTCTTCAAATCACTTTTGTGGTTGCTTTCCTGTGGAACACTGAATCACACTACCAAATCATACCTTTTAATGTAAGAACAGATCCTGTAAAAGCAACGAAGTGAATTTTTTGCTTAGTTTTCCTTCTTCACATAAAACTGAGATAATACTCAGTACAGCGATGACCTCACAGTTTTGGGTTTGTGACAGAATAGCCATACATTTAAGTGTAATGACTCGATGCAGAATCATGCTCTCCTATGAACAAGGCTGAAAATTCTTATTTTAATATTTAGTTGTGAATAGAAATACTGTACTATTGAGTTTTAAAAACAGAAGGAAAAAGTTAACTAATATTCCACCCCACAAAACAACTACTTCAATGAAAAAAATCTTTATCCTAATAAATGTTACTGTATGATTTTTGAAAAAGATCTCTCTGGTACACTGACCATGTAATGAATATTTTTAAGCCTAAATAGTAAGAGCTCAAAATTACGGCCAGCTCTTTGGGGTGTTGAATGATCTGTTTCCAAGGTGTTTTGCAATACTTCCCAGCATTACTAACATGTTCCAAACTCAAGGACTTCCTTTCCTGTACTCCTGTCACCTATCTTTTTAGGAGAAGGAATCTTAATTCTATACCCAGAGTTTCTAATTTTTGCTTCCTTTTCCCAGATGTCTAACAGAGCTGTGATGCAAAAATAATTATCATCAATAGGTCTACCATGTAATGAGGCACCTTAGTCCAGAAGAACTTCCAGATTGACTACATCTTATAGGATCTCCTGAAACAAGAAAAAAACACAATAGACCATATATAAAATACTTTAATGAAAATTTACCCTTAACACATACTTGCCGCTCTAGGTCCTGAATTTTTTTGGCATCAGCTGCTTTATCTTTTAAACGTATCTTCTGCTGAATAGATGGATTTCCAGATTCAGCTTTCAGTTTCTCCACCTATCAATAAGTAAAAACATGCTAAGAAGCATATTTAAAACATACCAGGAAAACACCAGGAGGGTGGCGCAATTATAGTTTATTCATTCATTTATTAATGCCCAGATGAGACACTCTGCTACAGATACGGATGGCAAATGAGCTGAGCCAGGCCCCTGTTTTTGCGGTGTTTAAGCTCTCTCTAGGGGAAGGAGAGAGTTGATAAGCTAATAAACTACATTAACAAAATAACCTCAGAAACTGACAGTACTGTGAAGAACATAAAAAAAGTGAAAAAATGGGAAGGAAGGGTCAGAGAGGGGTAGATTGGCAGCTACAGTAGATAAGGCTGGTCAGGAAAAGTCTTTCTTGGAGTAGAAATTTGAGCTGAGACCTTAATGAGGAGCAAGACATAGGAAGAACCAAGGCCAGAGTAATCTAGGCCAAGGCAACACGTGGTTGAAGCGTGGCATGTTCAAGAATCAGTGGGAGTTTTAGTGTGGCTGAAGGAGAGGTTTGTGGGAATGTGTCTGGATGAGGCCGGAGAGTCAGGCAGCGTTCAGGCCACGTGGAGACCTGACAGGTTGTGATAAGGAGCTTGGATTTATTTGCAGTCTAATCTATAATAAACTACACATCTAAAAGCAAACCAAAACCCAAACCAGCTATTTAAATTCATAAAATTTACAGTATTACTTCAATGACTCAAGAGTAAGCCCTGATTGTTGAATTTAATAGGGTTGACCTACAGAAATATATTCTGAAATGACCTATTACCTCAAGTTTGAGCTTCTCAATTTCTTCATTTGCTTCTTTAAGTCGAACTGCATCTTTATCTAGAAGTTCCTGATTTTCTGCATACCACTGTAATCTTTTTTGCAAACGACTGATTTCTTGTTTATGCGTTTCTTCTAAAATTTTTATCTCGTATAATTTTTCACCTATAGGATAAAGTAACTTAATAACTTGATTGTCATTTTTAAAAATGTAGAAATAAATTAAAAGATTTTAAATAAAAAACAATGACTGTTTAATAAAAGTATTATGAAAAAATAAGAGGCAAAAAACTGATGTAGGCAACACAGTGTCTAGTATAACTTATAATTAGTAAAGGGAGATGAAGATTGTGTTCATATGCTAAATCCTGTAACTCATAGCAAAGTTGCTACGTAGACATTTTTGATACATCAGTTGTTATCCCCCCTGACCTTCATTATAAAAGTAAACTTGTTTCCATGGAAAGACAAATACTGGATTCAAGATATAATAAAAATAAAGCATTCCTATAATTATATTAAAAAGTAACAATAGCAAACACTAGTAGGTGCTTACTATGCATGATTTTATTTAACACAACTTATATGATGGGTACTGTTCATACTATTCTATTTTTACAGATGAGGAAAGTAAATGTAAGTAATTTTCTTACAAGCAGGTAAGTGAATTTTATTGTACATATCTTACACTGAAGATTCTACTATCACAGAGGAAAAATCTTTACTTTGGCAAACAAGAACTCTTCTGATCTACCTTTCTGGCCCTATACCCTGCCCTCCAATCCACACGTTCCCTCAATACTGTGCTCATGAAACACTCTAGGACAGCATCCCTCCATTCTTTCACTTCTGAATCTTACTGTCAGCCAGGACCCAGCTCAAATGCCACTCCTCCCTGAAACCCGTATTTACCACCCTGTCTCATGTTCATCTGCAATATTTTTCATATTAAACTTTTCTGCATTCTTCTCTTACTCTCTTTTGTTTTCCCTGGTAGGGAATGTCAGTTATCCTTCCATTTTCTATTTGTTCACTTGGCAAATACTTGAGAGTCTACATTTTTGACCCTGGGATAAAAAGACAGACCATACCCTCAGGAACGTCAAAGTCCAGTTGGAATGACAGACATGTAACCAACTAAACATAAAAAGGCACGAATTCAAAATAATCCTTGATTTTCTTTGCTCTTACAATTATTCCTGATAAAACCAGTCAAATGCACATATCTATGAATAATTAATTTTAAGAAAATGTTCCTAACATTACAATATACTTTAAGGAACAGCATTTTGTTTTTACCGTCCAACTGCTATTACTTAAATTCAAGATTAAACAGTTATGAGTATAAAGGTAAACTGTTTTAGCTCAGTGTTTTACCTGTGACATAGGCAACCTGATCTTTGGCTTGGTCTCGCTCTTTCTTCATTTTTTCCAAGTCTACTTCAAGAGCTTGTTTGTCTTGCTTCAGTCTTTTGATGTCTTCCAATAAACTGCTTTTTTCTTTCTTGAGATTCACAGAAATACAAGAGCAAGTTATTTTTAACCACAATAAATTGCAGTATAGTTTCTTTCACATAATTAATCATAAATACTGACAATTTTTCCTAAAATTTATCTCTGATTCCCCTGCCCCCAATTATTAACAGCCCCTCACAACCTACTAGAATCAGTTCTTATCATCTAACTCACCACAGTCTGAAACACTTTCTTATCTATTGTTCTAACTTCTGGATATTATAATAACCTCCTAACTAGTCTACCTTCTCCACGTTCAGTAGCTACAGTTCTTCTCACAGTAGCCAGAGGAATTGTTTTAAAGAATCAGTTAATATCACTCCTTTGTTTGAAACTCTCTGGTGGCTCCCATGTCCCAAAGTCCTTACCATGCCCTCCAATGTCACGTAACCCCACCTTGCCCATGCCTCTGACTGCATCTACCACAAACCTTCACCCTCCAACTCCACTCCAGCCAGAGACCTAGGTCTTGGAACACGCCCAGCACACTCCTACCCCAATGTGTTTGTACTTATTGTTTCCTTCGCCCCCAGCACTCTGCCCACAGACAGCAGGTGGCTTGCTCCTTCACTTCATCAAGGCTTCTGCTCAAATGAAGCCCCAGGAAGACTTTCCCTGATCACTCTTTCTCAAATAGCAACCCCCCACTCTGGTCCCCAGGTATGTTGCTTTATTTTCTTTACAACACTCATCACCACCTGACACATTATATATTTACTTGAAAGAGGACTTTATTTCGCTAACCCTTTTATCTGTCACAAATGCATAAAAAATGGCTGGCACATCAAGAAAATGTTGAATGAATTCTCAGCATGCCCTACATTTCCACACTACTCTCAGTGGCCTCATTCTGCTGCTTGACAAAATCGTATTTATCGTTCAGAGCTTAGTTCAAATGAGGCTATTCTTGATTATCCCCTACTTTGCATTCCCACAAACTTTCACTGTAACTATAGCATAGCATTTATTACTTTGTTTCATATGACATTGATTTGTATACATGCTCTTCTTATTAGGTTGAAAGCTCTATGGGGACCAAGACTGATTCATTACTCCCTGATGGGACTAAGCACATGGCAGATACTCAATAAATGTGCGTTGAACTGAATTCATAACTGCTGAAGAAGCTCTTGGACTCATGGTAGCACACTCGGTATAGTTTCATTTCAAAATAAAAATTATAAAAATTCTTACAAATACTATACTACCTTACAATCTAAAATCCAGTCTAATAGCTTTCAAATGAAGCTAATGCTATGCTTGAAACCTTACTGTGTTTTCCCAAGCTTTCATAAAATATGGCAATATTCCTTTTAAACTTGCTAATTTTGAGGCCCACTGATAAAGGGGTGTGGGGGGGGCAGTCCAATTATTTATTCTTTCTACATGTCTACCTATTTCCTATCTAGTAATTATTCTGTACATACATATATACATCTGAAAAAAGCTCTCAAATGGGTTCATATTTGAAGCCACATTTTATATACTACAAAAAACCTGCTAAACATCAATTATTAACTCTGATATGTTCAAATTGCTATGTAACTGTACCTCACTTTATATAGTAACTTTCTAATTAAAAAATGGTACACAATTGGAATTTTTCTTGTTTACATCATCATTCAAATAGATTGGAAGGGCTTTTTTATCTGGTGCTATGATTCTTAAGGGGAGGGAGTGGGGAGAATTATCTGCTCTCCTACCGGGGATGTTTGGAAACAGTGGTTTTGATTGTTACAATGATTGGTGGGCGCACCAGGGACAGGGATTATAAAAATTATCTAATACGTAACATTGTTCTGCTTAAAATACAATTAACCTGCCCAAAATTTCAAAATGTTTCCCACTGATAAATACTGCTCTCGAAAATTCTAGGCCATATACTTTATAATAAAGAAAAATTAGGGAGCAACTATTGCATTTTTACTTTTGTGTTAGGTACATCAGAATCAAATATTTGTGGGTATTGTATCTGCCCCCCTAGAAGTGTGTAGTCTACTTAGGAAGACAGGTAAAAAGCCAACTAAGTTTTTAAGGTAAACTATCATCTTCAAATTATTTGTCTATTTTTGCTGTACATTTTTCAGGAGGAACTTGTTTGAAATAATGTATGTGTGCCATAAAAGGTTATGATTCCAATATAGCTCCATACAATAAATGCCTGAAGAAAGGTTCTATTATAAATAGGATGCCATCTAAAACAAGTATTTCATTATTTTCTCTAGAGTCACATGTATGCTAAATGCTATCTTTGATATTTCTTAATTTTTAGATGGTAAAAAATTTATAAAAGGGTCTTATTCATAAATTACATAAAACAGATTTTTTTTACACATATGGTGATTTTTATAATAATCTTTATTATCACTAATAATTAAAATCCTTATGCAACTTACCTGTGCTACCCGTAGTTCTGCTAACAGATCTGTAAAATTCTGGTTTCTGGTGGGCTCTGAATCTTCAACTACGTGAGACAGGAAATGATTTTTCTGCATCTGTTCTCTGATATATTTTGAAAATAAATTTTTTTTTTTACAAAGAACTCTTTTCATTACAAAATATTCAACTTTTAAACTATAAACTAATGGATGTTGGAACTATGTGAGTCACTGAAGATAAAAAAGTTTATTTAATCCAAACAATAAAATATCACTTAGAGGGAAAAGTTTATAGTTAATCTAAAGGAACCGAAACCCTAAGATCACTGATTTAATATATAATTAAATAATATAACTATAAAAATATTTCCTCCCAATTCTCAGAAAAGGAAAAAAATCAATGTCCCAGAAGGACACGCTGCCTATTTCCTGTTGTGTTATGTACTCCTTGCCACACCATCTTAGGTTACTTTCTGAGAAACACAAACCACCAATGATACACATGGAAACTAACAAAACCAAACACAGTTTACTATTTTTACCTTAGATTAAATTTTTCTGTTTTTCTAGAGACATTATATAAGAAGTTTAAGAATCCATATGTGATGGAGAGCAGAGGACAGCTAGTGGTGGGGCGGTGGGGGTGGCGTCAGGGGGTAGAGGAACTGAGCAAAAAGGAATATGGACTCATGGACATGGACAGCAGTGTGGAGACTGCTGGCGAAGAGGGTAGAAGGGAACTAAATGGTAATGGAAAAAATACAATCAAGATTAAGTAAAAAAAAAATCTGTATGTGCTCATCTAACCCTAATGTACTAAAGAAACCATTTATTTCATTAAGAAAGTTGATTTAGCCCTGGCTGGTGTGCTCTGTGGATTGAGCGCTGGCCTGCAAACCAGAGGGTCATTGGTTTGGTTCCCGGTCAGGGCTCATACCTGGGCTGTGGGCCAGGTCCCCAGTAGGGGGCATGTGAGAGGCAACCACACACTGATGTTTCTCTCCCTCCCTTCCCCTCGCTCTAAAAATACATAAATACATACATACATATGTAGATCTAAAAAAAAAAAAAGAGTTCATTTAGAATTTCAGTTTTAGATACTGGAATAGCTCTCTTTTAAAAGCCAGGCCAGTATAAGATGTACTATTTTAAAATATTTTATTGAAGCATTTGGGAAGAAAACAGATGTACATGCATTCAGGCATCAAAACTATGCAAATTATTACCTTGGGAAAGGAGCATTTGTTTTTTTTAATTTACAAAATAATGCCTTTGTTTGCTAACCTGTGTGCCTTTTTCTATTTTGCATGAAAGATCAGTATAAGCTAACAATAGCCCTGTCTCTTACACACTAGGTTATCCAGCAACAACAAAGAAGTATGCATAAATATAGTATTCATATGAAATGATGCACAACTGGCAATCATTTCTTAAAAGCAGATAGGACTCTAGCATGTCCATGTTTATGGGTTTGTTTGTTTTTTTAACTTAATATGTTAAAGCTGGATGTAGTAACATCCCAAAGACCTGAAATATGATTCTTAAGTTGGTGCTGGTGCTCCATCAGCCCACCATGGTGACTGCCGATTGATAACTCAAGGTTCTTCTGTACAAATGCCTCAGACAAAGCAGCGCCTCCCCTTGGCCCAGAGGATATCCCTCAACTGCTTCCTGGGCCACATCTCAGTCAGTGACAGGCTGGTTTGGGGGTACAGAAGGCTGCTTCCCAGAGGACATCTGCCGACCCCTTCCTGGGGCTCCTTTTGGCCAGTGAAGTCCTGACTTAGGGGTAAAAAAGGCTTCCCTCTCTTGCCTCAAGTGGGGACCAACTACGTGATGCGATCTCTTCTCCCAAGCCTCCTGGTGAGATCAGACTGAAGCCAGTCTCAGCTGAGAACACACTCTTGTTTACAATCCCTACCTCCACCCACCCCTCATCTTGCTTCTCTTGCTCCTTTTTCTCCTGAGAGCTACCCTCTACGAAATCACCTCTACAAAGATTCCTACCTGAGACTCTACTTGTATGGAACCTGACCTAAGACAATAAAGTGGTACTGTATGATTTTTTTAAAGCATTACTACTAAAGGCATTATTACTAATATGCATTACATAAGCATCTCAGGTTTAATGATCAAGAAAAGTGTGTTGTTTTCCGAAACTGATCTCAAACTCAAATATAAATACGCTGAAAATACTCATCTATACGTATTAGACATCTAATACTAAAGGAAAAATCTATCGAATATTAAAAATATAAAAGTTACAAAGTAAATCAGTGTGCACATTTTTTCAGTTCTAACTATAAAAATGTATTATTGATATAACAATAAAGTGCTTGGAAACAATCTATGTATATTTGATTTTAGAATTTAAGAAGAACTTACTTTAAGGAAGCTAACTCACTGAATAAACTCTGGTTTTCCTTGAACATTCGCTCCTCATTTTTCTTGTTTTGTTCTTGGAGATCTTTCACTTGATTATACAATCTTTCGTTTTCCTTTTTATAAACAGAAAATGACATTTTAGTTAAAAGTCAGTAGTACTTACATAAGTATATATGTTCATACAGATACATCCTTTAAACATTTTTAAGGTTTTATATTTTCTCCAGTTTTTGAGCAAGCAAAAGCTTTTAAAAATTCTTTATATTATCACAGAAGGAAACTTATTTTCTGAAAACAATTTTTTCCAAACTACTTATTAAAAAAAAAAAAAGTTGCAAAAATTCCCAAAGCCAAAGAGCCTAGTGTCAGTAGGAGGTACTGCATTTTACAACAGTAAATGGGTGAGTGACTGCAGTAGTAGCCATGTTCCGACTTTGTGCTCCAGGGATGGGGAGGTGAGTGGGACTGTTTGCATCCTCTTTTTTTCCGTTTTTGGCCTATCTTCCAATGGAGAGGTAATTCGATGTAGCCACAATGAGTGTCTATGCTTGTTTCTGGAAATTTCTGTGATCAGGGAGTTAGAGACTAGGTGTTTCTAAAAGATCAGGACAAGGCAGAGCAGAGATTAGACCTAGTTCACCACTGGGCTTTAGCTAAAAAGTGACTCAGTGAGATCAGAGGGAGAAAGTACCAATCCGTGCATAGCTGCTGTGGCTTATTAGCCTCCTTAAAATTAGGAATCTGGTAAACACCAAGGAGCCTTGAGGATCTAATAAAAACTAGGAACCATCTCACTATGTGTGGCCTCGTGTCTGGCAGACTGTGCTTAAATTATCTGCAGAATTAATGACACCTGGAAAAATACAGAAATGTATATATATAGATACATAAATTTTATATTTCTTTGTGGGAGGGGGTGACTGGCAAACTTACAGGTTTGTGAAATCCTCCTTAAACCTTATGCTCTATAGAGCAAGATCAGAATGGAAGGCCAAGGGTTTGTCTAACTCAAGTGCAGTGTGTTCTGCAAAATTAGTACTATTTCATTTGCAGTAAACATTGTGATCTCTGATGTGGTAATGTTTACACTATGGTTGTTTAAAAGAGAAAAAGGTAATACGGGAGAAGGAGATGGGGAGGGAAGTAAAAAACAAAATGGAAAGGGGAAGGAGGAAGGAAGAACTAAGATGAAATCTCATTCTGGAGATCACTAAACTTGTCCTGGTTGATTATCAAGTCAATATCACCAAGATTCCATCACATATCACAAATAGTTGCCTTCTGTAGGACACACAAATTTTCTCTCATTCAAAATATTTCACTCTCAAGTGATTTCAGATTCATATTTTTCAATATAATTATAAAACTATTATTATCTACTTAAGTATTTAAGTATTATCTACTTGAAAGCATTACAGAAAGACAGGAAAGTTTTAAAGGAATATGGCTCTTTAAAATAATAACAGGCAACATTCATTGATTTGGCTTCTCTGTGCCAGGAACTATAAGGTTGGTTTGCATGGTCTTATTTTAATTTCATAACCACCTTTTGAGACAGGTACTATTATCATCATCCCCATTTCATGGATGAGGAAACTGGCTTAGAGAGGTCATTTGCCCAAGGGTCCACAGCAGGTGGCACAGCTAAGTCTAAAACCAGTTTCTTTGGATTCTGAACCCAGGCTCTTAACCACTTCAATTCTGCCCATGAGAAATGAGCAGACCAATCAAATTATCACTTCCTCATTCCTCTTAGGAACTCATTTGCTAGAATTCTCATTAGCTGTTAAATGAGCACATAAATATTTTAATATCCCTTATTTTTATAATCAAAGGATCTCAAGAACAACCTTGCTATGTGCTGAAAAAATCATACCTGTTGATATCCTCGAAGAAGTGTCTCTTGTTCTTGTATTTCCTTTTGGATTTGCTTCAATTTTTCTTCAGTAACAGCATCAGCTGTTTCTCCAAGATGTAACCACCTTTGTTTTTTGTTTGTTTCTCCAAAGCTATTTAACTTCAGAAAAGGCAGAAATTGTTTATACAGGGAAATAAATGGTAAAGTGAGAAGTGAGGAAGAAAACTAATCTTATAACTATTCTGGAATTAACCTAACACCAACTACAATTAAATCATTACAGTATTGTTTTGTGCTGATGGTTCTGAGATGGAAGTTATTCAGAAATGCTCCAGTGTCATTTTCTTAATCTGGACCTTCTATAGCAGTTCTTTCTGAAGGTCACAGTGAACTAAGAGATTTATTTTAAAAAGGACGGCTAACTGAAGAAAAGAATCAAAATGAGCCATTATAAATTTTGATTTTTTTCCCTCATGGGGTTCAATTTGGGCTCTTATGTAAGGAAGCACTCTTAGGAACCATGCTCATGTTTTATGCAGCACATACATCAAGCCAAACAGCTCCAGGAACAAAACAATGACAATGCACTTATCAGGGAGTACAAGTTCTTTTTTAATCAGTAAGAAGAAGAATAGGACAACATGTCTAGTACCTTAGCTTGACAACATGTCTAGTACCTTAGCTTGAAGAATATAATTGTCTTGACTCAATTTGAACAGTTCCTTTTCCTGTTGCTTCTTTAGTTCGTTCATCTTATTTTCCAACTCTCTCTCTTTTTCTGAGAATGTGACTTTAATTTGCTCAATTAGGGCTTGCGCACCCCTCCATTTTTCCTCTGCTTCCTGAACTCTTTTAAACATAATTAATTCTGGGTCCATGTTCCCACCATGGTATCTTAAAGAATCCTTCTAAGAAAAAAACATTACTTCATTATAGATTTACATGTATGATTCAAAACAGGTGGTTAAAAAAAAAACAACAACAAAATCCACAAAGAATAAAATGAGAATTTAATAATGTTTTTCTAAATAAGAAAATAAATGTGTTCAGTAAGAGGGAACACTTAAAGCAAAAGAAATGTCATCTATAATTTGGTTTTAATATGATTTTAGATCATAAAAACATTATAAATAGTGTTCTAAAATTTAATACTTACAATCTGAAACTGAACACAGGAAGCAAGTTCTGCAGGGTCTTCAGACTTCTTTTCAGGAGTAGCCAGAAAACTTTCAGTTTTGGGAGCTGGTTTACTCAATGCTGCAGGCTTGATGAGTTTTGTTTCAGATAAGATTTCTAAATATTGTAGACAGTAGATAAAAACACAAATGCAAACAAAGGTAAATGAGTATTCAGCAATTATGCAACAAGAAGAATGAGGAACTCAAAAAGGCTAATGTGTAAGACTGAGTCCAGAGCTGTTGCCCATAATCAACATTCTACTCAATTTGACATAGGTTTATGGACCGAAGATTCATGTCAAATGACAAATGAGGCTAAATAGATGTGAGAATGTGAATTGGGGTAATTTTAGAATGTGGATCGCTAGTTTTAAATAAATTATTCTTTTAAAAGTTCCTAGCACTAACAAGTAAGAATATCTAAACAATGAATCAAAGAGCAGAGAGTAACTTTATGAAGCATTTTCGTTGAAATTAAATGTGCTTTCAAAGCCTAATTTTTATTTATTTTATTACTTATTTATTTTTAGAGGTAGAGAAACATCAATGTGTGGTTGCCTCTTGCATGCCCCCTGCTGGGAACCAGGCCCGCCACCTTGGCATGTGCCCTGACTGGGAATTGAACCAGCGACCCTTCAGTTCCCAAGGTGGCATGCAATCCACTAAGCTACACCAGCCAGGGCCAAAGCATACTTTTTAGAAGTAATGTGTATTAAGATATTACTGTGTGAATGGAATAATATAAATTGCACAGGAACTTTATAACATCTAGTCTAAACTGATTTAAAAAGATAAAATTGTAACACTGCTCTACCACCCTGATAATATATACTCATTTAGAAAAAATGTGATTACCATATATTCTGGTCAAATTTTCAGCTTTTAAGGTAGGTACCTTGTAAACCCCAAACAGAAGAAATAATTCTAAGGCCAATAAATTCAATTAATAATTTAAAAAATTTAAGGCAAATACCTACAAGTGATCTTGAGGTCCATATTCAAATACTATAGGCTTTGAGCAGAACACTTAGTAAACATTACCTGATTGCCTTTGAGACAGATATATAATTTGAAATTTGTATTTTTAATATAACTTCTTCAAGATGCTAAATTTTTAAGTCAGAAGTTTACCTTTTGATTAAAAGTGAAATACATAGTTATTAAAGATTTGGAAAATAGCCCTGACTGGTGTGGCTCAGTGGGCTGTGTGTTGTCTCACAAACCGAAAGGTCACCAGCTGGATTCCCAGCTGGAGGGTGCAAGAGGCAAATGACCAACATTTCTCTCCCTCTCTTTCTCCCTTCCTTCCCCTCTCTCTGAAAATGAAGAAATAAAATCTTTAAAAAAATTTGGAAAATAAAGTCTAAAGAAAAAACAAGTCTCCAATAGTACTCCATTGATAGATTGCAATCTTTTCCCCCCACACATATGGACATTTTCTTCATAGAGCAGTAATCATGTTTTACTGGACTGTTTAATGTAGGAGGTTTTGTAGAGCAATTTCTTAAAGCATTCACTAAGAAATTGTTTGAGTCGCTGGGACAACAGGCATTAATCCTTCCACATCACTGGAGGTCCATTCACGCGGTCGATGAGTGAATGGGGAATGAACTCCTGGCACTGTGATTCTCCCTAGCACAGGGCATCCAAGAGTGGCAGGTGGACCTTGTTCAAGCTGCAGTCACTCATTGCTTTTATACCAGAATTCTCCCTTAAGTTCTTAATTTTGATTTTACTAAGTAATTATTTTCAATAATGATACATGAATAGTGCTTTTGCACTTTTTACATAAAAAAATTTTCTTGGATATAAAATTCAAACATGAAAACACTGCAGAATTTGGAATCCATGAGCCCTTCTTTGAAAAACAATGGATTAGGAAAATTCAGGCAAATAAGATACCAATCAAAATAATTCCAGAATGGAGAAGCTATGGCTAAAGGACTGGTTTCTTTCTTCTTTTTTCTTATTTGTACTTTCCTGTATTTTTGTTTGAAATAATGAACAACTATTCCTTTCATGACAATAAAATTATTAGTCTCAAAATAAAAACACAATAGTTAACAGAAACCTTATTTTGCCCTGGACAGGTATCTCCCTGGACCCCATGCAGCTGAGTGTGGCCACACCATCAGGGTTCTGGCCAGTAAGATGAAAGCAAAATTTTCCTACATGGGGCTTCCAGGAAAGTGACTACTTTTCTGATTAAGAGGTTGATGATTTAACTGGCTTGCATCTTTTACCTTTGCCCTTCCTTATGATAGGGGCTGGAGGCTGAATAACCATCTTATGACAGTGGAGATAAAAGTCACAGACTAAGGATTTTGCAGCAGTAATGAAGGGATCTGGTTCCTTGCACAGTTGCACCAGCTCTGAACTGCTTATCCCTGGCCTCTCTGCTACATGAAAAAGAGAAGCCTTTTGTTTGGGTAAGCCTCAGCAGATGGGCTTGTTTCATCTTAACCAGTGTTGATCCCAAGTGCATTCTCTAGACTTTCTATACACAAATTTCCACCTCAGAGGCTGCTTCTCAAAGGACCCAACCTGTAACAAATAGCAATCACCCCAAAAGGAATTACAGTTCTGAATAAAACTAACATTGCTTTTGGCAATTTTTTCAATAAAAAGACAGTAATAAAAAAATCATGCCTAACTGATAGTCTAATGAAAAAAAGTAGCTCAGTCTAAAAACAGACAGCCACTAGTTTATCACTGTACTTTAATATAAGTTTTAGTGATTTGTTTTATTTTTATCTTGGTATTCATAAACATTATAAAATTTTGAAATAGGAAACAGTACTCATATAAATAGTTGACTTCATCTATTAACCTCTACATCAACCCCTTGTTTCTTTTACATCTGCTAGGACATTCTTTGTGCCTTCACTCTTAGTAACTTTTAACACACTCATAGGCAATCCTTTCACACCCCCAGCTTTTGGTTCCTTATACTTCTCTCCACCTCAGCTACTCACTCCCACTAGACCTACTCTAGACTTTTTCTATTATTAGTAATGCAGTCACTCCTAAATCTTAGTTTTAGGCACTTACTCTCTTTCAATCAACTGTCTCCCAACTTCCATCCCACTGGGACTCAGTTTGCTGACTCTACCTATTTCTAACTATATCGCACCCCTTGATGTCCTTTCTTCCTTCATTACTCAACATCCACGTATGTCATTAGAGACCCTCTTGCTCCTCTCTTAGTTCATTGTACTCATTTGGCAGAAAACACTCACCTTGGTAAGTTCACCTATACAACTACTGAACATGTGCAATTAAGCAGTGAAATGGGCCCATGCACACAAATACACACACACTAACCGTGCCTTGTCTCAATTTAAATCCATGATCATTAACTTCAAGTAGACTCTGTAGCTGGCAGTCTAGTCCTCTGGGATAACTCTCCCACATCCCGTCTTCTCTTCTCCAAGACCCCCTGCCCCATCCTCACTTCTAGCCAACGACACTGAGTTTCACTTACAGAAAATGGAGGCAATCAAAGAAATCATCCACTTTCTCACCACTTCTACCCACCTATCAGTCTCTCTACCTACAGCCTCCCCCTTCCCCACTTCCTATCTGCTTCTGCAGCTGAACAGTCCACGTTCCTATCTAAAGCCAACCCTTCAATGTATATTAGGTCATATTACAGCCCATCTACTCAAGGACGTTACCCGAGCAATTCTTTCCCCTCTCTCCATCATGACTTTTTTCCTGACTACTGAATCTTTCCAAAAAGCATAAACATACTACAATCTATACTATTATCTCTCCCGTTAAAAACAAGGTAAAGCAAAACTAAAGGCTTCTCTTGACTCCACTTCCATAAAAGCTATTAATCATTTTTTCCCTGCCTTTTACATCCTTTTTTCCAGGGTTCTCTATAATTTGAAATATATAATTCTATATCCACTCCCATTCAATTTGCATTTTACAGCCACATATCCATGGAAAATGCCTGCCCAGCTTACTGATGACCTCCTTCTTGCTAAACCCAAAGCTTAGTTGTCAGTCCTCATCTTTATCTCCCAGCAGCAACTAATAGAGCAGATCAATTCTCCTTCATACACTTTCTTCATTTGGGTCCCACATACTCAGGTTTCTTCCAACCTTACTGCATTCTTCGTAGTTACTCCTCTGCTCCCTGACCTCCTACCATTAGCATGCCCCAGCCTCAGGCCTTGGTTGCTTTTTCTCCAGCTATGCTTACTCTCTTGGTAAGTTTCATCAGTCTCATGGCTTAAAAAACCATGGCTCAAAAAATATTAGTTTGTAACATCATCTCCCAAATGATATGTACAGTCCACGCCTCCCTCTAGAACTCCAGACTTTTATATCTAACTGCCTCCTCGTTTATCTCCACTTGCATATGGAACAGATCAGCAACTAGATTCCTGATCTCTCCACCCTGAAATCTACGTTGCCTTTGCTTCCTCAGCCCAGTTGGATAGTAACTCTATTCTTACAGTTTCTTAAGCCAAAAATTTTGGCGTCATCCATGACTCCTCTTTAATAACCCAAAACCAATCTTTCAGATTTTTGGTTCCATCTTCTAAATGTATCCTTATCCAACCACTTCTCAGTACCTCCTCTGCCACCGTGCTGGTTCAAGCCCCATTACTTTTAGCCTGCACTTCTAGAACCTCCTTACCGGTCTCTGTGCTTCTTCCTCTGCCCTCTATGGTATGCGTATACATGTATATGGTCTATGACACAGCAGCCAGAGAAATCTGTCTAAAGGGTAAGTCAGACAGGTCACTCCCTTGCCTCAAACTTTTCAGTGGCTCACCTTTTCACTCAGATTAAAAGCCTAAGTCTTTAAAATGCCCTAGGAAAACCTACATATATGCTTGCCCCTTTGACTCTCTGGTCTCATCTCCTACTACCCTCTTTGCTCACTCTGCCCTGGCCATATGGGACTTCTATGCTCTTCCTTGAACATACAGGCAGTCGTCCCTACTTTAGGACTTTTTCACTTGCTGTTTCATCTTTCTGGAATATGCGATACCCAATTATCCACATGACCAATTCCTTTACCTCCTACAAGTCATTGAAATAACTCTTTCTGAAGGAGACCTAGTCTGTCCTGTTTAAAACTGTGACCTGCCTCTCTCCACCACTGACACGCCTGCTCTTTTTCTTTTCCTTAGGATAAAACATCATTTACTTAATTGTTGTGTTTATTGTTAAATGTCTTTTTCTCTCCTCACCAGATGAAAAGTTCCACAGAATGGGGAGGGGAGGTTTCTCTGCTTATTTAGTTTACTGATATATCTACCAGTGCCTGGACCAAGGTAGGTGCTAAAAAAAATTTATCTATGAATAAATATGGACAAAGTAAACTTTAAAAATATTGGGGGTAATTTTATCTTAAATACAACAGAGTAAATAATATTAAAAACAAAATTTCATTTTCTTGCTTCCAGAGTTCAAAATGAATACTCCTAAAACATGAATGAAAATTTTTCATACTCTTCTTGATGATTCTAAAATTTGATAAACATTCCAAGTGTCTTTTTTAATATTAATAGATAAGTGGTTAATTATTAATAACTGAGTAGATGACAACATCACAAGCAAATGTTCCATACAAAAGTAAGCCAAAAGAGAACACAAAAGCTTTCTTAGAGGATTACAGGTTTCAAGGTTAAGGACAGGAGAAAAGGATGCTTATATTAATCCAACAGAATCACAGTCCTGTCTCTCCAAAACAACCAGCCTCTACTGCTGTTATCCTTTACCCTGACACAGATCAGTCTTAGCCTTTCCATCTTACATGCACAGGTTGCTGCAAAAAAAACAAACAAACAAACAAACAAAAAAACCAAAAAACCTCACATAGACAGAAGAAAAGAGTCTTTAATGCCTAAAGAATTTAAAACATTTAAAAGATGTTGCGGATTCTTCTCCAGACCACCATACCACCATAATAAAGCAAGTATTAAAATAAAGCTAGTCAAAATCTTTTTGCTGGTGGAGGGTCTTGCCTTCCATTTTTAAAAAACATAACTTCTGTGAAGCGCAATAAAGCAAAACTCAATAAAGTGAGGTGTGCCTGTATAGTCAAAGTGGTCCTGAAATGTATAGTTGTAGGGAAAGGCAAGGGAAGATACTTTAAGCTAGAAATGAGTTTTCCAATGAGGATAGTTCTCTGACAACCATCACCATATAACAAGTGATGAAACTGGTCACCTATTCAATTTAACCACAAAGAAAAGGACAAAATGCTTCTGGCTCTATCATTGCTCTCCTTCCTCAACTGGAGTCTAAAAGCAGCAGAAATGTTGGTCTGACTTGAACATTCCTATTTCTTTTAATTGCTGCATGGGGTCCAAGTTGAAAATTACCCTTTTTAACTGTCAATATGAAGGACTCCATTAGGAAATAACAGAGGCACAGCGATGTATAAAACTATGCAATATGTGATCAATGAAACATCCTGCTTCTCCAAGTCTATGTTGAACTAATGTCTAGATAATCTATCACCCTTTATTTGTAGATTGCCATTTGCATTCTGAATTTATTACAGAGTCAACCAGATGAGGAGAGGTTTGACTTTTATCTTATATTCACTTTCCATATTTTCTGGGTCTCATTCAGGAAAACCTAAATGTAATGATGAAATACCTACTAGAAACTGAATCTTTTAGAAACAGAATATGTATCCTAATGTTAGTAATTTTCTATAAATAAAGAAAGTTCATAGAAGGATAGAAGGAAACAGGGAAAGCAGAGAATAAGGAAAGTAAAATAATACACTACAAGTGACCCTTGAACAATACAGGAGTTGAGGGTGCCAACCTTCCCCCAACCCCGATGCAGTCGAAAATCCACATATAGCCCTGGCTGGTGTGGCTCAGTGAACTGAGTGCCAACCTGTAAATGAAAGGGTTGCCTGTTCAATTCCCAGTCTAGGGTACATGCCTGGGTTGCGAGCCGGGTCCTCAGCAGGGGGCATGTGAGAGGCAACCACATACTGTCTCTCCCTCTCCCTTCCCCTCTCTAAAAATAAATAAAATCTTAAAAAAAAATCCACATATAATTTGACCCCCCCAAAACTTAAGTACCAATAGCCTACTGTTGACTGGAAGCCTTACTGATAATATAAACACTCAATTAACACATATTTTATATGTTACATGTATTATGTACTGCAGGAGTCCCCAACCACCAGGCTATGAAATGCCACTGGTCTGTGGCCTGTTAGTAACTAAGTCGCATAGCAGGTGGTGAGCAGCAGGTGAGCCGGTGAAGATTCATCTGCATTTATAGCTGCTCGCCATCGCTGGCATTACTGCCTGAGCTCCCCCTCTGTCAGATCAGGAACAGCATTAGATTTTCACAGGAGTGCGAACCCTACTGTGAACTGCGCATGTCAGGGATCTAGGTTGCACACTCCTTAAGAGAATCTAATGCCTGGTGATCTGAGGTGGAGCTGAGTCAATGGTGCTAGCACTGGGGAGCGTGGCTGTAAATACAGATTATCTTTAGCAGAGAGGTCTGACTGCACAGAACCTTAATAAATCAATTGCTTGCAGACTCATATCTAAACCCTATCAGTGAGTGGCAAGTGACAATTACGCTGCATCTGGTGGCAGGTTACAAAACTATCCCTCACCCTGGATCCATGGAAAAATTTCCATGAAACCTGTCCCTGGTGCCAACGAGGTATGGACTGCTGACGTACAGTATTCTTACAATAAAGTAAGCTATAAAGAAGAAAATATTAAGAAAATCATGAGAAAAAAATACATTTGCAGTATATACTGAAAAAAAATATATGCATGTAAGTGGGTCTGTGAAGGTCAAACCCATGTTCAAGAGTCAAATGTATATACACAGAATTCTATTATGAAAAGAGTATATGATCATTACCTTTTTTCCTGGCTTGATTTGAGGTGGGAATGGATCTCAAGTTTTTGCTGTTCATGTCTTTCGAAGTTTTCTTTTCAATAGTAGAAAATGTCTTGAATGGTGAACTGGGTTTTCCATAGCCTGAGCTCCTAACTGATGCATATAGTCCATTCTGGGGTTTTCTTTTAGGTAAAGGAGGTGCACTTCTGGCCTTCTTGTATGGTACCGGTTTACCAATTACAGCCCCTTCTCCAGAACTGAGTTGAGATCTAAAAGTCTGCACACAATAAAGAGTTTATAGTATAAACTCTTTAGTACTTAAGTGAAGTTCAACTACAGTGGTAATGAAAATTTAACAGGTGGCAAAATCATAGTGATTACTAAATAATGTAGTTTGCTAAAGGCAGACCACTATATTAAAGTTCTCTAAGTCTAATTCATCAGAATTTTAGTATTTTGAAACACGTCTTCAAAGTCAGGAACAAAAAAGCAAAATATTGTAACAAAATAAGCCTGCCAGAAAGCAGTATGTGTGTGAATTATGAGAATGAACATGGAAAAGGATAGGAAAAACATTTCGAAATGACATAAAATCTGATTTTCTTTTTCCTCTAAATTTCTCAAGATAAAAAAAACGAATACCCTGCCTTATTGCACAAAGAACTGGAAATCATTTAGGATAAACACATAACTCAAAATTGTGAAATAAAAATAAAATATTGGGATCATAAACTATAAATCAGAATAGACCAAGAAGAGAGGAAAAAGAAACAGTGAAATTCAAGTTATCAATAGTTTCTAATAGCATTTATATGAAACGCCAACTTACTTTTACAGAACACAAATTACTAGAAAGATTGAATGAACAGCACTGGAATGATGAATAAACTTTATTTTCTTATGAATTTCTTATTCAAATTGTGGACTATGGTTACTAAAAAAAGGAAATGTAAAGGATGTCTTCTAAAAGAAAGCGAATGCCACCCTGGCCAGTGTGGCTCAATTGGTTGAGTGTGATCCCATGGACCCAATGGTCACAGGTTCATTTCCTGGTTGGGGCGCATACCTAGGTTGTGGGTTTGATTGCCGGTCAGGTGGTGTAGAAGGCAACCAACTGATGTTTCACTTGCTCCACCTGTCCCTCCTTCCCTCCCTCCCTCCCTCCTTCCCTTCCCTCCCTCCCTCCCTCCTTCCCTCCCTCCCTCTCTCCTTCCCTCCCTCTCTACAGGCAATGAAAAAATGTCCTTGGGAAAGGACATTTTTACATAAATTAATTAAATTAAATAAATAAGTAACATTTTTTAGATAAAGGAAAAAGCTAACGCCATGGAGGTATTTTTGAATTTGGGGACCGCAGGGTGTTGAAACAAGTACTGCTTACAAATATCTAGGATCTGTGTGGAGGATAGCAAGTAATCAATCCCACAAGTCTAAGAAGTACCTACATATCATGGTACCTATATGACTACATATTATCATTTATCAATATGTCAAATTTAAGTTATAAACACTTACTTTCTTTATTTTGTCATCCTGAGGTAATACTGAAGGATCAACAGATAGTTTTTTCTTCAAAATATCGAGGTACATTTTATCTATATATTCTTCTGTAGTATTTACTCTTGGACAGCTATTATCTACACTTTCACTTGCTGTCTTTTGTAAAACCACATTCACTTCATTTTCATCAAAAAATTGGCTCACATTTTGTGGTTCTTGAGAGACAACATTTGGCTTCATCTCAAGGGGTAAAGGTCTTAAAATTTCATTTTCTTTACTATCAGCCCGTTTCTTACAGCTATAAAACAAAACAGGACACAGAGAATAAACCTTCCATGACTCCTCAAATATCAGTTTTATCAACATATATGCACATTATATAATATTACTTGTAACTATTCAAATTAGGTCATTAATGTTAAATACATTATTTATAATTCTGGTTAATAAAGTATATTAACATGTATCATATAATTATTTTGAATTTCAAAATTTTAATACAGTATAAGGGATTAAATGAATGATTGAGACCTACCTTCAAAGGAAAGCCAAACCAAACAAGACCAAGATTGCTTTTGTATAAGAAAAAATAAAATATGAATTTCTAGGTGAATTTTTTTATAATATCTCTTTTATTCATACTACCTTATAAGGTCAACATGCATTTGTGGCAGAAAAAGCATGTTATACATTTCTAGAAGAAACTAAAGATGTAATCATAATTTATGCCAATGAGGCATAGAACAGAAATATTAAAAAGCATAAATTTCACCACAGTCTAGGAAAAAATTTTAAAGTAAAAAAAATCACAAGGATTTTTAAATAAAATCACTTCTGTGGTTTAAAACACTTAAATGTAATCTAATATTTAAGACCATTAGATTTTTAAAATATGGAAATTGTCCCTAGAAATGTTCTAAATATGGTTAAAGATCAGCATATTATGGGGATATTGTTATTTTCAAACAACTTAATCATGGTCAATTAAGTCATTTAATTGTTATGATAAAATAAGATTAAAGGAAATTTAAGAGACTATCATTTTCATATAAGGTAGATGAACTTCTCAGTAACTGTTAGAAGCCTCTTCTAAAGTAGAAGGAATTATCTGAAAATATAATAGTTTTAATTCTTCATGTTAGCAGAATTTAGCTAGATGTTCATCAAAACTGTTTCCTACTTTTTTGTGTCTATGAACTAAACTACATTTCCTTTCCCCTTGTACCCAGATGAGGTCATTTTACTAGTTCTTGCCTCAGAATGTGAGTGCCATCATGACAGGAACCTAAAATGTGTCATTGGCTTTGTGGTTAGGTTTTGGGAGGCAAGGACACTGATAACAGAGGCTGGAGAAGTGGCAACTCAGGTTTTGCAGTGGCAAAACATTTGTAAAATTGCCACCTACAACAGTTTATAAGGCCAATCGCATGCCTATTGAATCAGGGTACTAAAAAAAGTGGCCAGAGAAAACAGGGAGTCTCTAAGTGCCAGCTACTGTTGGCTACTTTGACAAGATATTTTAAGAAAGAGATGGGCTCAAGACAGAACGTGCATGTTCGTAAGAAGAAATCAAACGAAAGAGAGTCTAGAAACTCAGGACCTCCTGGCTTCTCTCCGTGTCTAGACTCAAACAGTAAGACTTGGCATTGAAAAATGCTATAAGAAAGTATTTCATGAGACCTCTTAGCTGAAAAAATGAATTCAGTCCCTGGGCAAAGATTATATTAAAAGGTACCATCTTCATACATGAGGTTATTATTCCCAATAATATCCAGGCAGCTGCAATTAAATTAAGAAGAAAAAAAAAAAGAAAAGAAAAACAGAGGGACAAGGAAGTAAAGATTTAAAACTTTCATCTGGCAAAGAACTTTGTGCAGTACTGGTACCTAGAACTGACTAGAATCAAAAATATCAGAAGCCTAAACTTTCTGAAGGAACTCTAATGCAAAGAAACTACAACCTTATTAAAAAAAAAAAAAAGGCTAAAAAGGCCAGTGACTGTTTGGGAAACTTAAAACCATCTGCAGGCACGAAGTGAACTGAGAAAGGAGTGCATACTCCAAGATGGGTACACCTGCCTTGCAAAACCCACCCTAGTGTGTGCCCAAGGGTGATGAAACACTAGAAAAATTCTCCAAGGAGTGAAACCAGGGGCTATGTGGAACAACATATTAATACAGCAGCTCCTTCTTAAGAGCAGAACAATGGCCTAATTCAGGAAAATCCCTATCTGCAATGGTGTGTATGTGTATGTATGCGGGGGGGGGGGGGGGGCAGGGCAGTCTTTCAAAGGCCTTTCCAGAAGATTTCAAGGTGCATTACTGATTATTACTGTATTTTGCTTCCTGAATGGGAGCACTTGTTGCAGTTCCACCATTATATATTACAATGGCAGGACTGAGGTGGTCTATAATTTGCCTTTTAAAATCACTGATTATTAGACAATCAGGAGCCCCATTCAAACCTGATGGAAAGGACTGCACTTCACCTGGAAATCCTGGTCTTTGAGATGGATACAGACCCTAATGGGACTCTGAGCTGTTTGCTTTGGGGAGGTGATGAGAGGGTGTGTGTATGACGAGTAAAATGGGAATCTGGCTATCAGACGGGTATATTCTGGTTGAGACCAGCTAGATGCCTATCAAAGTCATTTTTCTTTCTGGGAACAAAAGCAAACCACATTTTCCAGCCCTCTTGGGTTTTGTTAGCTAGATATACTATGGTTTTTATCAATAGAATGTGAGCTAAAGCAGTGTATCCTTTTATGTTGAGGCAGTTAAAAAAAAGTACCCTAAACCAGCCTTTTCTTTCCTTATCAACTTGGTTGGATGAGGCCATGACAACCTTAAAACCACATGTTTATGACCAAAAAACCCTGAGTCTCTACATGACTGTGTGTAGGAGAGTCCCACCCTAACCCCACTAACACATATGAAATTATGATGTGAGCAAGAAACAAATTCAGATGATATTAAGCTACAAAAATGTCAAGGATTTTCTGTTACAGTAGCTAGGATTATTTACCCTACAGTTTCCTAAAGAATTTTTGGATATGTGTACTAAGGTTTAAACTACTGACATTTCTATAATTTTTGTTAGGCTTTTAGTGTAAGTATACTTGATTCCATCTTTTAAACACAGATGTAATCATCTATGTTTTAGAATTCACATTAAAAAAATGGTTCCATGTATGCCAGCAAAGACACAAGACAGAGAAAATGTCTTCAGTAACTCTAACATATCCCCAAACAGCAATGGCGAGTAAGCACAATCTACCCTTTAAAAATAGTAACTAGCATTGCAGATCCGTGGAAGAATACCAGACTGAGGATGCAAGGAGACAGGTTTTAGTGTAAACCTCACTATATCATTTTTGCTTTAGTATAATACAGAAACAAGACCACAAAATCACTGCAAGTAGATTTCCATGACAAGGATGTAATAAAAGAAGGGGCTCAAAATGTGTTTATTGAAAACTTAAATGAATGAATGAATAGTATATCAATGGATGACAGCTTTTTCACAGACATATTTCTTAGGAACCAAAGATCTGACAATATAAGTGGTTAAGCACACGGACGTCCTGTGTACCCTGGTCATAGTCATATGATTTTGGGCCATTTATTTAACCTCTTTAAGACTCAGTTTTCCTGTCTATGAAATGAAGATAATAACAGAATATACTTCATGGAGTTGCTGTAGGATTAAATAAAGTATTGTACGTAACGAACTTTGCACAGTGCTCTGGCCAGGGTGGCTCGATTAGTTGGGAGTGTTGCGCCATAGACCAAAAGATTGTGGGTTTGATTCCAGTCAGGGCACATACCCAGGATGTGGGTTTGATCCCGTCAGGACGCATATAAGGCGGCAGCCAACTGATGTTTCTCTCTAACATTGATGCCTCTCTCACTCTCTTCCCCTGCCTTCCACTTTGCATAGTTCTTGGCTCACAGTAAGCATGTGATAAAAATGTTAGTTGTTGCCCTGACCAGTGTGGCTCAGTTGGCTGAGTGCTGACCTACAAAGCTAAGGGTTACTGGTTCAATTTCTGGTCAGGGCACATGCTTGGGTTGCAGGGTGTGTGTGAGAGGCAACTGATCAATGTTTCTCTCACACATCGATGGCTCTTCCTCTTTTTTTCCCCTCCCTTCCCCTTCTCTAGGAATAAAGAAGTAAAATCTTAACAAAAAATGTTAGCTGTTATCAACATCATCACTAGTTCTTGGGAGAGCTTCACCACTTAAGTGAGTTTACAGTAGTTTCATCACTCGAATGATGGAGACTAAGGATGACTGTCCTTGTTAGAAAAAACATATAAGATAATGGATGTGATTCTCTAAGTGATACACAAATAAAAAGTTGTTTTATGATGAGGTTATGATGATATGATATTCTGTGCGGTGGTGAATGACAGTGAGGTCCCACAAGCTTCAACTAAACTCTGCTGGAGCTGGAGCACTTTCACAAAGCCCATTTCTCTTGGGCCCGAAGAACTCATCCCGTGAGATGATGGCCAGTCCGTGACCAAGGACAAAACTAACTGGTTCATAAACAAGCAAGTCTATGACTCATGTACAGAATAAAATTCATGTTTCATGTCTTCATTCAAATCAACTGCCCCTGAGCTATTGAAAGCTGAAGAAATTATATTTTTCAGTAAAAAGCTTTAAGACAACTTAATGGCATTAACTTTTTTAGTAGCATCCTTTTTTAAAAAAAAATTTAGCACTAGAAGTTTGATGAACTGAGTAAAAACTAATTCTAAAAAACTCATTTAAAAAGAGGAGAGCAGTGACTCATAGGTAAGCATACATAACTACATTAATCATTCACTAAGAATTATGTAGAACAAATGATTCTAGATGTTTTCAGTGACAGAACAATAAACAGACAAGAAAAAAAATTGTACAATCCATTTCAAAATGCTCATACCTGACAGGGTGTAAATCCAAACCACTGATCCCAAAAGAATCTATTCTGATAGGTTTCATCAGCTCCTCTACTGTGGGCAGATCTAAGGAGGGCGAGGGGGAGTTAAAATAGAAACAAAAAATGTATGTCACTTGGTTAATTTTATGTGTCATACCAACAAAATTACATTTTCTCTGATTGACATAGTTAACAAAATGGCACATACAATTAATCCAATTTCCCACTGTAAAATTGCTTATACCAAGACAACCTCTTTTGATAGTTATATTTGAAATATATACATACATATATATATATATCTCAAATACATGTGTATGGGTATATCTACACACATATTTTATTTGCTAAGTATGTATTTAGTTGATCCCAAAATACTGTTCTCTATTTAAAAAATAACTTTGTTATATATACATGGAAAAGATTTAAAAATATAAAAACACAAGTAATTTCTTAATTTGGTCAGAGCATATTAGAAAAGAAATTGAAATTTTATCCTATGTTCAGCTCTAAGTTTATAGTTAAACCACTGATTTCCAGATTTTATTTGAACAAACCCTTTAAATAAGTTTAGAGACTGAGAAATAATCACTACAGCAAATTGTATCTAAATCACACTAAATTGGAAACTGTTCAGAGAGTCTAAAATAAGCTTTTACCAGATTCTGTAGTAGAGATGTTTTTGGAGGAGTCTTCATTTTCTTGAGGATGACCTTTCACTGGGCTCTTGGTATTTTCCATGACAGTGTTCTCAATTCTTTGTTCATCAGTATCTCCCAAGGAATGGGCTACATGACAATAAGCCTGATGAAGAGCGTCAATGTCACTACTGCTTTGTCCATGAGAAACACCTGTTAAAATAAATGTACTCTCCAGTATAATCATACAAATACATGAGACATATAAACAACCAATATCATTCCTTACTCTGTTAGGAATGGTGAACAAAGCTGTAGGACAATGATGACATTATAAAGATGGAGTTAAACACAAGGCTAGGTAATATGCAGGTATGGCCTACCACTGTGAAATCAGCAGGTTCAATAACTCTTTCCAGCAAGCTGAGATGTGTCTTGGTGTGGTAACTGTACTGACTCCATCGGTTACTTTCCTCTCTTCCCACTGCCCTTAATCAGACCCTCTGCATTGGATAAAACTACTCCCAAATTTTCCAAACTGATACAATCATCTCAAGGATTCTGTTTCTCCCTTACCACTACCTCTCTCAGCTTCTCTGTGCCGCCACGCAGTAGTCTGCCTTTCTTCAACTAAAATTCGACTCCTCTAACTTTGCAGTTCAGTGTGTTCCAACATCCTGCTAAAGCTGCTATGATGAAAAACAATTTCGTAATGGCCAAATACAGTCATCTTTAGTTCTCTTCAACAATGTGAGACATCTGACACTGTCCTTTTCCTGGACAGTCCTTGTTCTGCATCCCTTCTTGTTCTTCTCACTACCCTGGTGGCTACTTCTCCATCTCTCATGGTAAAATGGCTCACCGCAGGGCTCCTTCTTTAGCCTTCTTTTTTAAACTTCTCATTTATTTATTTATGCCAAACATCATCAAAACCCTTAGCTGCCTCTATTACACATAATGCTCATGATGTTCACATCTGTCTTTTGTTCTTATTTTTTTCTGAATAAATACATTTAGATTGTTTGGTAAGTAAATCACATCTAACATATACATCCCCACATGACTTTATTATATTCCCCAACAAAACTTGTTTTACTACCAGTATTTCCTAGTTTAGCTAAGGACGTCACTCGTTCACCTAGTCATCCAAAAATAGAACACTTGATGTCACTGTTCACTCTTCCTTCCCTATTAACTTTCTCCTCCTCCCACCAATTGATACATAAATTCTAAAAAAACCCCAAAAAACAAAAAACAAAAACTGAAGAATTGAATAATAATGATCTAATATTTTTATGAGTATTTTTATGCTCCTTTTGTAATTTTCATTATTAACAGTGAAATTTTCAAAATTAGAAGAAAGTGCAAGAGTCATAGAAAAGTAAAAAAAAAAAAAAAAGAAAAATGGGATGACCAGATAACTTTTCTTGTGATTAATGCTTAAAAATACAATAGTACTTACAGCCTCATCCTTAAGTTGTATAGTGGCTATTATTTATCTAAGGGGCTATTTTTAACTCTAAATAAAGAGGCAGCCAAATGCCACACAAAAGATTGTGTTAAGAACTCCTTACAGTGGGATATCTTTCTATCTAATGCTTCACGTCACCACTGCTATTTGGAGCATGCTCAATAAATATTTGCTTAGATAAATGAAAAACAGCCCTGGCTGGTGTGGCTCAGTGGACTGAGTGCCAGCCTGTGAACCAAAGGGTCGCCGGTTTGATTCCCAGTTAGGGCACATGCCTGGGTTACAGGCGAGGTATCCGGTAGGGGGCACACGAAAGGCAACCACACATTGATGTTTCTCTCTTTCTCTTTCTCCCTTCCTCCCCCCCTCTAAAAATAAATAAATAAAATAAATTAAAAACAAAAAAGGGGAATATGTTAGAGCAGAATTATTAACAGTTAAGTGGCAAGCGGCAGGGATTTTTCAATAGGACTTCAGGAAAAAGATCTTGCCCCTTAAGGTAAGCCCAACTCTTCCCCTAACCATCTGTCAGACTGAGTAGCATGACCGAGGGAGAGAATTAATCTTTATAAAGAAAGGAAAAAGGCACAGGTGTTTTTTCTGTCCTGTACAAAAATATCAGAATACTTAAGTATCTACAGAAATGACCCCAATGTTAAGTAGCACAGCAGTACTGAATGCTCATACCTAATTTATCAGGTGTGAGGTGTCAGAAAGAAGAGGTTTCAGGCCCTAAAGCAACAGTAGGGCAAATGTGCAAAAAACCAAATGACCTAAAAGTTAGAAATAGAGGACAGAGAGGTTTTGGGGTGGCTCAGAAAACAGACGAGGGAAAAGATAACTTTTCTTCTAACTTGAGTCATTAACCCAAGTGACATTAAGATATTTCAAAGTCATGTAAGTTAACTTCTTTCCTGCATTTTATGAAAAGGCCTGACCTGCCTGCCTTTTATATTAAAAAGAGAGTTTTCTATGCAGTTATTTTATATATTACTGCAAGTCAAAAGCTCCAAGTATTTTTCCACTTAAGAAAGTTGAGACAGGCCAAACTCTATTTTGCAGAGGCAAGGGGCAGGCCGTGGAGCGATGCTGTCACCGTGTGACCGCTCCAGTCCATGCGGCCAGTGCACCGAATGTGAACAAATGATAAATAAGTGAAAGGCTAGTTCTTACTTGGTGTTAGAGAAACCTCACTTTTATAGATGCCAACCTTTTTAATACAACAAAGCACAAAGAATTTCACAAATATTATTTTAAAAAGATGATCTCTGACAATGTAGCTCCTAGCCTGAGCCTGCTTAATCCTGGAAGAAACATGGTAAAAAAAAAAGCAAAACAAAAAACTCTACTGATCTTTCCAGTTCTTAAACAAAGTTCAGATATTGATGTGAAGATTTTCAAGTGTACTCCTTAAGTGTCAGGTAAATTCAATATCCTATAGCCAATCAGATTTCTACTATAATGCTCTCAGGATCTTTAGTATAGCTTCTATTAATAGACAGTTGATATAAATTATAATAATGATAACAACAGAGTTGCTACTGCTTGTTAAATCTTAACATACTATATATATTACTTCAGCTGGCCATCACAAGGTCTCATTTTAAAGTGGAAACAGGCTTAGAAGTATTAATTGTCCAAAGTCACCCAGGTAATAACTGGCAAAGATGAGAATATGAATCAAAATCTACATGACAATAAGTTCATATTCTACTATCTTCCAATAATGCACTCATCACAGTATTTCATAGTCAAGAACGTTTAAGAAATAACACCAAAAAAAAAACAAACCCCCAAACAAAAAACTATAGCTTTCTATAACTGCTGGGATATCTCCAAAGAATTTTTACTTTTAGCAATACATTTTTTATTTTTGAGTTTTTCTTATAACCTACAGCAGTCGTTTTCATAATATATTTTACAAAATCATAATGCTTCACAGAAAATCATGGATTCCGCACATGTCTGATTGAAATTTCATTTTTAAACATTCTTTAAAACTTAAAGCTTATTATAGAAGTTACTTTAAACACTCAATGCAACATTTATGTAACTGTAATAAAGACCATTAGAGTGATAACTTTGCCTCCTGTTTTGTTTTCATGTGTATCTGTAAGTTTCTCTGGTCATACAGCAAGTATGTGAACTTCCTATAATGTATCACGAATTAGAAAAACTATAGCTCAACACTGGTCTTTTAAAAGAATTCATGTTTGCTTACTGAAATCTGTGCAAGTCGATCTACTATCACAGCACTTAAGTGACATGAACTTGAATAAACAGCAGTAGGACTGAGGAACATGTGTTCAGCACATGCTTTTGTCACAGCAGAATACCCAGCTGAGTGATAACAAGTAAATGAGTAACATGTCTTGGTGGAAAAAATTCTCTTGTAGTTTTTTGACTTTTATATGTATTTTAAAATAGAAATGGGAAAAACAAGTCAAGAAAGTGGTGACTCTTAGAATGCCAGTGAGTAGAAAAAAGAGATCTGAGTAGACTTCGTGGTTTAGGTCAAGTGTTTTTGATCTGGTTGCTGGTTACATGGGTGTGTATTCTGTATGTGAAAAGTCATCAAGTTGCACTATTATAATACATGATATAGATGTATTATATTACTTTCCTATAGGCATACTGTACTTCAGTAAGAAAGTAAAAATTAAAAAATAAAATTCAAACAGATGTTTCGAGTTCGTTAGTGATTTATCAATTCTCTTGCTCTTTTTTTTCATGTTTTTGGTTTAGTCGACCATATTGGTCAACTGAGACTTGCAAAAGCAAGCTGGTTAAAAAGTTCCCATTTGCAAATATTTATGGGTAAATCAAGAATATTACAATGAAAACAAAATACACAAACATATTAGAAGTCTGATGGTGACAGGAGAATAACATATCTGTAATTTCTGATTTCAAAAATTTCAATTATTGCTCTAACTTTATTTGTAAATGTTACAAATGTAAACATTTATACCAAAATATCATTTTTATCTTTATAGAGTATATATAAGATTTCATTTGGAGATAAGGGTCCCACATTATCTTAAAGACCTTTACAACCTTGCCTTAACTGGTATGGCTCAGCGGGCTGAGTGCTGGCCTGCCAACCAAAAGCTCCCTGGTTCAATTCCCAGTCAGGGATCATGCCAGGGCTGTGGGCCAGGTCCCTAGCTGGGGTTATGCAAGAGGCAACCAATCAATGTTTCTCTTGCACAATGATGTTTCTCTCCCTCTCTTTTTTCTCCCTTCCTTCCCCTCTCTCTAAAAAATAAATAAAAACCTTACAAAAAAATTTTTACAACCTTTAGTAAAGTCTAGATGGTCCTCGGCATTTGAAAATTTTGGGGTATAACCCACCACTTTCCTACACAAGGGAACTATGGAAAAGCACAATAAGACCGAACTTTCATTTCTCCTGTACAGGGCAAATTTAACTGAATACTCTGGAGAAGAAAAAAAAAATTAGTTAATATTCACCTACAGTGCTGCACTTTGTATCAACATCATTCATTCATTAATAAGCATTTACATAAGCCCTGGCCAGGGAGTACAGTTGGGTAGGGCACAATGAGTGCATAAGTGGAACAACAAATTGGTGTTTCTCACTCCCTTCCTTCCTCTCCAAAATCAAGAAATTTAAAAAAAAAACAAAAAACAACCATTTATTTAAAAACAGTTTACTTGGCTGATTAGCACTAGGTGTCACCACTGGTTAAGTTCAGATTATTTAAGGTGTTAAATATTATATCGAATGTAAGATTTAAAATTTTATTATTATAGTTACATATTATGTGGTATGTACAAATGAACTTCATTAGTCATAAAATGTTACATGTTTAGAAAATACCGAGTTTTCCAAATATTTTTACCTGTTCCTGTCATTTCATTATCAGTTATTTCAGGCAGAACTTTTGGCACAGTTGTTGCTTTATCCTGTTCATTAAGGGTGACATCTGCAATAGAGTCTAATGAATCAAGCAGCACCACTGGAACAAATAAGAAAAGATATTATGAATGTAGGGAAAGTTGTATGGTTCCTTAAAGAAAGCATTTTATTATATGCAATCCATATATAAGCAAAGATAAATATTTACATATAAAGAATATATAATCATAATCATATATCTATAAGCATAATTTTCTTATGTACAAGAGTAGGATTATATCAACATATGTATGCTTATATACATGCCTAACGTACATTTATATGTGGAAGGCAAAGGGCCTGAGAAAAATAACAAAAAATATTATTTTTTTCCCCCAATTTTATTGAGGTATAGCTGACAATTAAAAACTATATATATTTAGGTGTACAACTTGGTAATTTGATATATTTATACATTGTGAAATATTTACCACAATAAGCAGATTAACACCCATGACCTTGCATAGTCATTTACCTTTTTTTGTGCGGTGAGAATACTTGAGGTTTCCCCTGTCAGCACGTTTTAAGTACATAATATACTACTACTATTAACATCAGTCACATTGCTGCACTGTATCTCCAGAACGTTTTTATCTTGCATGAACTAAAACTTTGTACCCCTTAGCCAACCTCTCCCCATATCCTGATCTCTCAGCCCTTCGTAAACTCATTCTACTGTTTCTATGATATTGATATTTTTAGGTTCCACGCATGAGATCATGCAGTTATTTGTCTTTCTGTGTCTGCCTTATTTCACTTGACTAAATGTCCTCCATGTTCAACCATGTTGTTGCTAATGGCAGGATTTCCTTTTTTTTTAAAGGCTGAAATAAATATATCTTTCTATCTATATATATCTTTAACCCATTTCGATTTTTCTGCATGTTGTAAGGTAGGGGGTCCAGTTTCATTTTCTGCATGTGGCTATCCATTTTCCAAACTCCATTTACTGGGGAGACTATCCTTTACTGTGTATTCCTGGTGCTTTTGTCAAAAATTAATTGACCAAATATGTACGCATAGGTCTATTTTTGGATTCTATCTTGTTCCATTGATTTATGTGTTTTTAATGGCAATAGCATACTGTTCTGAATACTACAGCTTTTTTAGCATATTGATAGTTTGAAATCAGGATGTGTGGTGCCTCCAGTTTTGTTTTTCTTTCACAAGATTGTGTTGGCTATCTGGATTTTTCTGTAGTTCCATAAGATTTTTAAGATTGTTTTTTCCTGTCTGTGAAAAATGTGAGGGACTGCACTGGATCTGTAGTTCACAGACCCAGTAATTTAATGCCCTGTAGTATGGACTTTAAAACACTATTAATTCTTCCTACCCATGAACATGTAATATCTTTCCATTTACTTGCTTCTGCTTCAATTTCTTTCATCAATATTTTGTAGTTTTCAATGTACATATCTATTACTTCCTTGGTTAAATTTATTCGTAAGTATTTTATTCTTTTGGATGTTACTTTAAATGGTTTTTTTTTTTTCTTTTCATGATGTTTGCCTGGTTTTGGTATCAGGGTGATCCTGGCCTCATAGGATGAGTTTGAAAGTATTCCTTATTGTTCTTTGAAAGAGTTTTTAAAAACTGGAGTAAGTTCTTTGAATGTTTGGTAAATCACACCATAAAGCTATTCAGTCCTGGACTTTTAAAAAAGAAATGCTTCAAGATAGGCAAAAGGGATATATTATTGAGACAAACTGTGAACTTTAATTCACTAGAGATATTAAAAAATGAGTACAAATAGTGATTTATTCAGAAATATTTAGATACAATTCCAACTAAAATATATGAATATATACATAATATTTACCATTGGCCAGCATGCCAGTTTTCTCTTCTTCCTAAATTCAAGGTAGAAAAGAACCATATCATTTTTAATTAAAGTTATATAAAATGACCACAGTGGAAACTGCAACAAAATTTGAAAGCCAGTGTTTATTCCATAATGAAAATATCAGGAAATGTTCTTTCTAGGTTTCTTTGTCACCCTCACTCACTGATAATTCTACAAGACTAGACATTGTAGCTGTCAGAGAACTTCTAGAAGTTTCTTCAGAACCTTGGAAATAACCAGAAATTAATTTAGACCTTTATAAAATCCTTGTTTAAAGTATACAGATGTCATCTGCTCATCTACTTTGCTCAGAAATTCTTTTTTTGAACTCCAGCATAACATGTATACTCATATAAGAGTCCTTTATTATAACATCACCACCCCCCTTTATTGTTAAAAACTGATGATGAAATATAATTTGTATTCATGGTTTCATCTGCATTTTGAGAGAAAAATTTTCAAAATGGTGGGCCACCGAATGGTGACATATTTAAAATTCATCAATATTATAGGTTCCCTTTGAATAAGTCTTCTACTCAGTGTCACCTATATTCTCCATGTGGATAAGCAGTATATAGAATTATCTCTTACAACAAAGCCTTATTTCGTTCCTATTTTAATCTGTACCCAGACAACTCTCTCCTAGGTTGCCAGTTAGGATGACACATTTTTGATGCAGGCTACCCTTTCTTAGTATACCACACTATCGTGCCTTCTACTGACCTATTTTTTTCATAAAATATTGTAAATGCCATATTCCAAGTATAAATCCCAATAAATTTCTAAGGATACTCATCAGATCTCATTAATCTTTGTGTATTTCTAAGGTCATCTTGTTTTTCACCCAAACTACATGATACAGACACTCAAAGTACTAGGTAAGAAAGATTTATTTTGTAAGAGTATTTATTAATACCTCAAAGTGTTCCTAACTTCTTTTTAAAGAGTTTATGGTTTCACACGTGTTCAAAACAGCTAGACCTAACATCTAGTCCCAACACATGTCCAGATCAAGACCAATATAATAATAATTGTTTTTCTGGTTACCATTAGATAGCTCAAGGATAAGGTCTATCAGACAGGCAAGATGTTATAGTACCCTTAACTAATCTTGGTAGGAACTGAGAAATGACAATAGAGTATAGCAGTGTTGAATGTGAAGAGAATAATTTAATTCACGATCTCAGCTAAGTAAATCTCAGACACTTATAGTACCACTAGCATAAATACTAAGGAGGGGTATTTACTGTATTCACAAGGACAAGACTTACCAAAGAAAAGCATAGTTTATTAAACCTGCTTAAAATTAGATTTGAGATTTTTATTAAGTTTTTACCTTCGACAGTTTAAGGAAATTACTTGCCAAAATATATCCTTAAGAATATCATCAATTGCCGTGATATTTCATTAAGACTTATACTAAACTGACATCTTGAGTTAGGAAAATGTCTCCATGTTGAGACCTGTTAACTTTACAATAATGAGCAAAACTATAAAGAATCCTGTATTTCAAGCTCTTCAAATAGTGACAGCTAAACTGATGAAACTTTCAAATATAAAACTGATGTATACCTGTTTGGGTGCATTTATTTTTTCTGACTTGGGATTTTCTTTGGAATTAGTCTCTTCATCTATAGTAGTCAAAGGTGCATCAGTATCTTCCTCATCTTCAAAATCATCACTGTAATTTTCTGAAGAAAATAATTTTTAAAAATATAAGGGTCACATTGTCAAAAAGTTAAATTCCAGGAAAAGACTGATTTCCAAACGAAGAATTATACATAATTGATTGAAACAGTAACATAAAGATAACTTTAGAGAACAGATTTTGTTTTTGGCAAAGATTTAATAATTCCATTCATGAGACAGTTTTATTTCAGTTTTTGTACTGCCAGGTTCTTACAAAATTTATATTTTTAATCCTTCATATTATTAACTGACTGAGAATTTCTAGAGCAGCTCTAGAAATATCTAGAGCTGATATAAGATTTTATATCATCTTTAAAGCAAACTTTAGTATTTGTTTTTTAAAGACAAAAATCTCACATTTTTTCCTTATAAAAGGCAGTGCTTTTGTAAAATCTTGACTCTCATAGAATAATGGGTTTTGCTCATTTTTTAGGCTGATTTTCTTGGTCTCTGTAGGTATTTCTACTGTATGCCCTAAATGGTACTCATGAGAGGTCGATCTCAGATACTTCCTTTGGGAAGTGCTGGCCCTATATGACCATCACTCTTTCCCAATCCTGGCTACTTCTCAGCTGAAGGCCCAAGTTATATCTCAATGGCTTTGCATTAGAAGATAAGGTGTGTCCATGTTAACATGATACTGTCAGATTATTTATGGGGAAGACAGGGCAGAGATGATTTAGTCAGTATCCATCAATTTTCAACTTGTTGTTTAGAAAACTTATGAAGGATTGACTGAGATCTGCAGGCTATAAAAGGGGAATGACCTTTTCAGGGTGGAATCAATCATTCTAAAAAGAAAATGCAGACTTACTCATATTTCAAATATTAGATCGTATTCAGAAACAGGATGGCCTGATGAGAGAAAGGCCGCATGAGGCAGAGAGTCTGCTTCTGGATAGGCTGTCCTTTAGTTTTCTCTTAGAATGGAAGGGATAACTTGAGTGTAATTATTAATGGAAGTTTGGGAAAAAACTTCAGAGTTTATTCTCAAGTTAAAATAGAAGATGCTTCCAATGAGACCTGCCTACAGAAATACCTCCATTTCAGTTCATAAGGAATATGAGGTTAGAACAGCATGGGTATTGTAACCTTGGCGGATAAGCTAGGTTACTTGGTTAACACCTATATTCAGAGGCTGAAAAGCTCACCTGACTGTTTCTCCGCCACAGGAGAAAGAACACTGGGATTTTCTAAATATTGGTAGACACAAATTCACAGTTATTGAGAAATTACTTTGTATTAGACATTGTTCTAGGTTCTAGGACCATTATAAAAATAATATTCTAGGTGGGAATCATTGAATTTTCAGGAACCTAAGAGATTAGATTTGCTTAAGAAGAGATGATGCACAAGGAGAGAGGAGATATGAGAGAGTATGGCAGTAAACTTTGATGACTACTTGGGATTTGGGAACTACTTGAGATCAATGGAGGGGGATGTAGCATTTGTATGACAGCAAACAGGTAGTACAAGAAACAGGGCAGGTAGTATAACATAATGTTCAAGAGCATGACCAGGAGCCAGAAGTCTTGGATCTACTACTTAGTTCTACTGATTTCAGCTACAGAATGTCAGCAATGGTATAATGTTATTTGAAAGCAAACTCTAATAAGACAAAGATGCATATTGTGACTCATAGGGCAACTAAAAAATATCGCAAAGGGGTATAAAAAACTGAAAGATGGACTAATGGAATGCTGTAAATACTCAGTCCAACAGAATGCAGGACAAAAGAAGCAGTAACAACAAAAAAGATGGAACAATACAAAACAAACGGCAAAGCAGTAAATGACCATTCAAAAAATGCATTTTTGTAAAGTGTAGAAACATGTGAATTAAAAGTCAGAGATTATCAGATTGAATAAAAAAGCAAAACCTAGCTATATGCTATCTATAAGAAAATTGTTTTAAATATAAAAACACAGACACATTAAAAGTCAAAATACGGAGAAAGATAAACCACCCGAATCAAGATTTAAAGGTGTTTGTCTTGGCTCCACAGATTTCCCTGGTCCTGTCTTCCCAGCTGGTCCACTGCCCACTCCCAACAACTAAGGCAGCAGTGCACTTCGATCAATTTCTTGGTAGCTCAGACCGCAACATAGGCAATTCACTGTACCTGTTCAAAGCTCTTTCCAAGACAGTATGATTTTCCTTTTAATTATTTTTCTCTTATAAATGTGTTTATTAAAAACTATATTATCTTTTCAAATATTGAAAATTTTCTTTAACCTTTTAATAGTTTACTTTTTATTGTTTTCCATGACCATTTATCCTCCTATACCCTCTTCCACCTCCATCCTCCCCCTCCCCCACTGCCCAATCACCACAGTAAAAACCAATGAAATTACCTGCTAGTTCTTCATGTTTCAATTCATTCTCATGTTTATCTTCAGTTAGTTCTATATTAGCTTGATTACTGGAAAAATATTTAATTTAGTATTACATGTTATTAATACATTTCCATGCAATCCTTTGTGTATATTTAAAAAAAAAATCTCTAACACCAACTATGTGTTCTCAAATATTGTTTTTATCAAAAGCAAAAAATTTGGGAGCTATAAGGAAAATATTTTGAAAATAAAGATTTCTTAAAGCTTAATTGTAGCTGACAAAATAATACATAGGGAAAAAATGCCGTGTTTTAAACTTCATATACATAATGTTATACATAAATGTGTGTGCATTTACATGTCTCAGGGTCCAGATATCCTTTCTAAAGATTAGAAACTGACCACAAGCTATGAGAATCAGTGAAATCTACAAGGAGGTCAGAAAAAAAAAAGCCAGGGCCATCATTTACATTCTAATAAGCAATTTACTCATGAAATGGGAGATGACTAGGAGCCTTAAACCATGAAAAACTCAGCAAAGCAGCAGGAAAAAAAAAAAAGAGGCAGCAAAGAGGCCTGAGCAAGTTTGAACTACACTAGATGTATTAGTTCAGATGTTGCTTTCTTTCAAACCCAGGAATCAGTTCTATCTTTTTCAGTTGATCAATCCTGTCTTTAGTGAGTCCAAAACATTATAAAACTTTAATAGTGGCAGCAAACAATACTGCATACTCAATACTATACTATTCTCTGACTAGTATGTTTTGGAGTAAAAATATCAGTAGTTAAGAATATTGTTAAGAAATCAGAAAAAAGTTAAATATTGCAAAGGGGCAAAGACTTATGACTAACAAACCTGTGCATGCCTAGTCTATATTATCACTGTGGGGAGAGGCAATCTCCACGGGCCTGCATTTTCTTGCTGGGTATACCAGGGATGCAAGGCATGGATTCCCCTTTCTTAGGTCATTTTTCAGGGCTGTGTTTGCAGTGAGCCACCTTGAGAGGAGGACTGTTTCCACTTTACAAGCAGTGGAATCCTTAGCCTCAGTGATCCTCTCATAAAGCAATCCACCACGTGTGCTGACAGCTATTGCGCACCCCTTGTGTTGCTCCCTGGGCCTTGTGGGGCATAGGGAACTGAGGCAAATAAGCTTGATAGTCAGGTACTGTACTGCTTTTGATGTGAGAAATAGTCCTTTGTTTCTGATCCAGGAATCTTGTGTCTATTGTCAACATCCATAAAAAGTGGCAGGCTAACTTGTTAACTTCCAGGTAGGGTAAAAATCCCGGATCCTACACAGTTCATGACAAGCACTGCTTTGTCCACCACCTATAAGAAACTAAGTATCATAAGAACAGGCACTCTAACAACCAGAGGTTATGATTCTCTTGACCTTTACAGTTTGGTGTTCTTAAAACTCTTAAAATTATCACTTTAACTTAAAATTTAAATTAATGATATATGAAACTGAGGAAATTAAAGGTATCAGGTTTCACAAAGGTCTCAAAAATGTCAAAAGGTCTACCATGCTTACAGAGAACCAGCTCGGACAACTAGTAGGATTTCCACAATAAGTGAGGTTTTCAGATAATCATTAGGGTCAAATATACACAAAGGTATGCTATCGACCAAACCTGCCTTTGCTCCCTGGTCCCTATCCCCTTTCTGTTCCTTTCCCTGCAACTGAGTTTATAGTAGCTACCTGGATTCTCTTGTTTACCTTATCTGTAGAAAATCACATGAGAAATTACTTTCCTAGTAACATCTTTCTGGCAACATACTATTAGTCTCAAAAGCATCTCAGGCATGAAACTTCAGATAGCTAGAGGCCAAGTGACTCTCAAACCAATGTATTCTGTTGATATAAAAGAAAAATTCTGACCAACATAATGAACAGAGAATAGACTTAAAAATAAGAGTCTACTTTTGCCTGTTACATTTATCCATTTTAGTCTATGTATATGCCAGCCTTCCAAAAATATAGGAAAACACAAAAATCATTTAATGTTTAGTTTGTATTTTATTTATATTACCTATGTAAAGCTTTAAAATGTGTGGAGTCATTAGAATCCAATTCCTTATTTAATCTTGAATAATCAATAGAAGATGTTAAGCCTTTCTCAAGTCTGGCAAAAAATTGCTCTTTTTCCTCTTGTTCTTCTAATGTGTCCAATCCCAATCCGAGAACACTATGATTGAGCTCAGAAACAACTATCTCTAAATGGAAAGCACAAACACATTTTATTAACATACAGAATTTTGATAAAATTAATTTTAATGATGCTTGACATTTATATTAAAATTTTAAAAAATTTGGAACACACTTTACTTTTCACCACCAATACAGACTTACATTCATAATTAATATGCATGGTTATAAGGCTTCTCTATAAGTATAATTATAAACCTTCTAGGAAGATATTAGATCTATCTAAGTGCTTCAAAAAGGAGATTCCAAAATAGTTGTGAGTTAATTTTTGTAAAAATCATGATTATAAGAATAGTAATTAACCCATCAACTCTTGTGTCTCATATTTCTTACCATTTGTTTCTAAGCTGTCAATACTTAAAATAGAGGTTCCACTGCTCTTGAGAAACTGAATCCTTCCAGCAGACTCATCTTCTATGTCCATAACAGTGTCCATAATAGGCTGAGAAGTCGTCTTTGTTTTCAAGTAACTTACATTTGTTCCGGGCAGTCCTAGGGATGGGATTTAATATAGTTGGATATTTACATTCAGAACATTGTTTTGACAACTTTGCCAACACTGTAATACTTACTTTGTGGACCATAGCTATAAAACAAATCTAGTCTACTGAATAAAAATCCATCAGATCTAAAATTCCCAAAAGAAAAATTATAATTCTATTTGCAGTGTGTCTTAAGAATAGTTCAAAATTTTGCATAATGGGGTGATAAAAGATATGATTTCTAAAAATTATTTTGAAGCACAGTACTTTATACAGTATACCAAGCCACTTTAATGAATATCTTCTGCCCCACATAAATCAAGAGTAGTAAGTTACTAGCTGAACTGGAGAAGGGAGGCAATTCCAAACAAAGGGAAGAAAAGCTACAAAGGGTCAACAACGGGAAGGACAGGCCACATCTGAGATACAAAAGGGCCAGTGAAGGGAGGTCTAGAGAGTGAGTGTAAAGACTGGGTAGAAAGCAGCACAGAGCAGAAGTTGATGGTTAGACCATGCTCATCCTCACAGGCCGGGGGTAGGATCTGTTCTTTATTCCAAAAGCACTAGAGAACAGTCAAAAAGTTATGCAATCAAAATTTCTTTATCCTAATAGTGCCTATTTGTTGTAAAAACTGATATACAGAAAAAGTAAAAAACTATATTATGTGATAAGAATACTAAGATTAAAATAATATCACTATGATTAAGAAGTCACAAATTCTGACTACAATTTCCTAATTAGTGTCCTCTTGGAAAGGGTTCAGAATCTATTTATTTTGTGGTTTTGGATGAATAGTGGTTTTATAGCCGAAATAACCTCCACAGCTGCAGAAAATCAAGAGATATAGCTATACACATTTCGAAAGAAAACTGCCTGCCAAGATTGGGGTGCAGAGTGGTGTCTGTCTAGGGTCTCACCCTTACTCCAAAGTTGGATGCAGGGATGTGACCCACACTAACCACGCTCATAAGAGACTGCTGTAACTGAAACCATGATCCAATTCAGTGTAGAGGAGGATTAGATAGTTTTACCCTCTAGGCAGAATATTGCATCCTTATGGTAACTGAAAGAGAAAGCAAAATTAGGAGGCTGGGGCTGCTCAATGTAGATGTGGCATCCATCTAAGACGGGTAATGTGTTCCTCTCCTCGAGAGGGTGTTAACATCTGCCTCAGCAGCTTCTACATTCTGAACGGCAGGAATCATCTAGTACTAGCAATTACTTAGTACTCAGAACATAACAGAAACTCAGCCACGTCTGTGACTGAACCAGGGACTAGGCTATGCCCTTGGATGAAGAAATGCTCTACCTTGTGTTTAAAGGTACATTGTCCAAGTTTTTTTCCTAAGTATCCTTCCTTGCATTCTTTATTAATCAAATCCACTTCTGACTGGTAAATTCTTTTAAAGATTATTAATACCTTTAGTCAGATTACATTCAAGTGTTGGTCTAGGACCTATCCTTTCCCTTTCGGGTGAGTATACACAGCATTCCATCTGATTATTTTCTAGAAAAAAGACTAATACTAATTAAGTCTTAAATCTTTGTCAATAATTTCTATAGTACTTAATCATACAATATCCTTTTCAAGCACCAACAAGGAGAAAGATTCTAAAAAATAATTCTTCACATGCTAACTTTAACAATGTTGCACGATTTGGGGATTTATGAAAACTGCACTGAATTTTTCAATAAGGCAATTCCTTACTGTATGCTACTAAGAACAGAGAAGTGACTATGAAATTCACTCTTACATTTGTTTGTTAAACACATTTATTCTTTACTATTGAGGGTCAGAGGATACATAGAAAAGAAGTGTTTTCTGCCCTCACAAAGCTCCCAACCTCAGGAGTAGCCCTATAGGTTACAACTGTCAATACAATGTATAAATGTTATTGTGGTGTTCTGACTTTGAAACAAAGAAGAAAATAATTGTGTTGATAAGGGACTAGAAGAGTTAGGGAAGGACTACAAAAAGAGGTAATACCAGACTTTACTGGACAAGAAGAAGGACAAGAGGAAAGGCATCTGGTGGTAAGAAAGCAGAAGCTAACATCCACAGGCAGGGAGCCAATGGTGTTTCCCGGGGATAGGGAATAACCAAGTGTGGCTGGGGCACGTGAGGCTAGAAAGGAGGTTTCCAATCAGATTATGTAGATGGTAATAGTAATTGTAATATTAAGGAATTAAGGCTCAATCTTAGAGGAAAAACAAAAGCCATGGGTAAATTTTCCCCTAGATAAGAGATAACAGATCAGTATGTAAAATGGTGCTTAATGATCCACAAACAATATGAACATAGGTATTTTATAGAAGTACTCTGAGGTTCCTTACAGATAGAGTGCTTGACACATATAGAACACTCCAGAAAGTAATTTCTCATTTGTAACGATGCAATAAGAAATAGTTCAGAGACAAGTATTCACATGTGTCAGAAAATATCAAGAATGAGTTCTCTATCATTAGGGCAATAAATTAGTTCGTTTACTAATGTTATTAAGAGACTGTGATACCAAAATCTGTAAATTTTGTTAAAATCTATCCCATAAGATGACATTAATGTGTTGTTGAAATATTTTATTAAATCACATTAAATCAATTTACCATTACACATGATTATATATAAATATACCTATACTATTATTCATCATCTTAATTTGAGTAATTATACATTATCTCAATGTAAAATAACCTAATAATGCAGAAACACATATTCTCAACATATAATACATAATAAAATGAAAATGAAAATCAATTTAAACCTCAAATATTCACACCATTAGTATTATTTTCTTTATGTGGTAATTTTACTACAGTAACAAATCCAGAATTAAAGTTTTGACTGACCCCTTGTGGTCAAATAATTTGAAATTAAAAATTAGCAATATTTACCACCATCTTCAAAATCATCTGCAGTTATCCACCATGGCAGTGTATCTTTCTTTTTCACTTCTCTTTTAGACTGTCCAGGTGTTTTGTTTGAATTTTCAAAAGAATCATCTGAAAGCTGAAGCAGATATAAACTGCTGAAATTTAAATTTGAGAATTTCAGGTTCATCACTAAAAATGTTTCTTCATTTTCTCACAGTTCAGTTATCACATACATAAGCAATATGCAAAGTAATAATGTATGAATTCACATTTCTAAACATATGTGACCAAAATAACTTAAAAATCAAGCATGTATCTCTGAACACCAATTATTAAACAAGTAAACTAACCAGGGAGAGCATTAACAGCAAAGAAATAAAGAAAAATTGATCAAGAAACTTAGGAGAGGGAAAAAAATACAATCCTCTCCTAGACATTCTCGAGGGTCTAAGAATAAATAATGATTAAGCAAAATTACCTAGCATCACTCCAGAAGAATAAATAAGTATAAGACTGAAAAGAATTGAGTTTCAGGTGTTCAACCACAGAAATTAGCATTTTCACAATAATCTATAAACTTAATATTTATTTGTTCTTTTTCAACTCTTCAGGTCCAAATTTTCCTACAACCCTAAATTCCTGACTCTAACTCCAACCTGGCCCCTCACTCTCAGCCAATAACTTGGCTTCTCTCTTCACTGAGAAAGAAAAAGACCTTCAGTCAAAAACCATCATCCTTCCCCTCACTTCATCACTAAACTCACCTTTCAAGACACTGGTTTCCTCTCTCAGAAGAGAAATTCTTCTACTTCAAGGAGAACCTGCAGAGGGGTTACTTCCCATCTCACTAGGTTCTGACTTCTTGGTTATCCCATTTTATCTCTCCATCTTCAACCCCTCCTCTCCACCCTTCCTTCAGTTTATAACCTGTTCATCGCTGCATCCCCGGGACCTGAAATAGCACCTGGCACAACTGTTGACTAGAAGAATGAACACTCAAGTGTACTCAAAAAGAAAAAAAAAGTAAAACAAACAGAAAAAGGTCCTTACTACTACTGTCTCCCTTTTACTCAGAGTATCATTTTTCCTTTATATACCAACTTGTTTTTAAATCCTTACCCAAGGACATGTTTATTGAGTTTCAGAAAAAGAGACAGACATCGATGTGAGAAACATTGATCAGTTGCCTCCTGCATGCACCTTGACTGGGGATCAAACCTACAACCCGAGGTACGTGCCCCAAAAGAAATCAGACCCATAACCCTTTGGTGTACCGGATGACACTTAAACCAACCAAGCTACCCAACCACAGCTATATGTCAACTTTTTTAGTTCACTGCTCAATCCCTTAAAATCTGGTTCTCATCCAAAACAACTCCTCTCCAAGGCACCAAAGGCCTCCTAAACATCACTGATAAAAGACTACTGTCAGTCACCTTCCCTGATCACATCACAGAACTTGATACAAGAACTTCAGAATTGGTGACCAACTCTAAAACTTCTTGAAACTCTCTACCTTTGCCATCACAGCACCACTTCCTCCAAGTTCGGTGAAAAACGATGGTTAGGTGGCAAAAGCTCAGTGACCTTCTATTTTCATAGCTCTTGACAATAATGTCCATTTCTTTAACACCAGACTTCCCCAGGACTCAGCTCTTCATCCTTTTTATCCTCATTCTACACACCCTTTCTGCAGAAGCAACCAACATTTATCCCATACCTGCTCTATTTCAGGATCTATTCTCAGGTTATCTCAATCTTTAGGTAAATCAAGGACAGGTTTACAGATAGGGAAACAGCTCAAAGAGGTTAAACAACTTGTCCAAGTTGCTACTGTTAGTGTTACAGAGCTGGGATTCAAATTGAGATTTCTGTAACTAAAACCTGTCCGCATTCTACTATACTGTGTGGTCCCCCCAACTAGGACATTGCTACCAGCATGACCTTTTCAACTTCCAAGATGACAACACACGTTTCCACCTGCCAGCCAAGCAACTTTTTACCCCACTGATTTGTAAGAATGTCAATTTTAAGATGTTCAAGAGGAACTCATTGTCTTCCCTTACAACCAGGCAGGAAGAGAGAGAAGGGAAGAAAATATCCTTTATCCCACCTGAACTTTAGCATATCACCTTCCACTCAGTCTGTACTTACCATCACCTTGAAATGTCCCATTTCTCTCTCCTCCCCACATCTCACCATTTACCGAATTCTGAGAATCCACCCCAAATTCAATCTACTCTTCCTAAACCCCATGGTCACATGAAGTGTGGAGGGAATATAGGTTTTGGGGCCTCACAAATCTGAGTTGAAATTTCAACTTCAAAATATGCCAGCTCTGTTGCTTAGGGAAATTACCTCTCTTTTTACCTGTTAAAAATAGCCATAGTAGCACTGACCCTGCAGAGTTGTGGCAAAAATTAGGGGAAAAAACAACAACAAAAAAAGGAGAATGCCCACCCTATTGCCTAATACACAGTAGGTACATTACCACTTTTGACACTATTGCAGTTTTCCTGATTGCTATCATTAAAAACAAAAGAAAAAAGCTGGTCCCCAAATAATAAGAGTGCTGGCAAGGATATGAAGAAACTGGAACCCTAATACACTCATACACTGCTGACAGGAATGTAAAATGGCACAGCCATTTAGAAAATAGTCCGGAGGGTCCTCGAAAGGTTAAACAGAGTTACCACATGACCCAGCATTTCCACTACTAGATATATACACAAAAGAAATGAAAACATACAGTCACACAAAACAAAACATGTGAACAATTGTTCCTATCAGAATTAATCCTAATTCCCAAAAAGTGGAGCGAACTGAAGTATCTATCAACTGATTAAATGGGTAAACAAATGTAGTGAAGTCATACAATAGAGTATTATTCAGTTAAAAAGGAATAAAGTACTGAAACATGATACAACACGAATAAACTTTGAAACATTACGTTAAGTGGAAGAAGCCAGACACAAAAGACCACATATGTATGATTCCATTTTCTATGAAATGTTTATAATCGGCACATCTTCAGAGACAGAAGTAGATTAGCGGTGCCTGAGGCTGGGAAAGGGGGTAACTGCTAATGGGTTTCTTTTAGGGGTAATGAAATAGTCTAAAAGTGATAGTAGTGATGGTTGCATAACTCTGTGACTATACTAAAAACCACTGAATTATGCACTTTAAGTGGGTGAATGGTAAAGTACGTAATATCTCAATAGAGTTGTATATAAAAAATCTGGTATCACCAATCTTATTAAAACATAGATATGTAAACCATATATCTCTGAATAAACTGTTATAGCAATGATTTATCAAAATGATTTTACTATGACTCTAAAATCGTGTTTTTCATTGAGACACTACCTTACCCAACTCTCCAATGAGACGTGAGAGCTTTTATGAGTTGAGGCCGGCTATGAGGGAAAGAGGGAGGAGGCGGGTAGAAAGGACGGGAGGAGGCGAGGGCTGCAGGGGTGAGGAGGGGTAGAAGAAAAAAATTACCTGTACTGCTTTTTATCTTTTAAAATGAAAACACTTCCCATAAATTTAATTTTCAAAATATGCCCATATTCAATACTAATTTTATTTTTTAATGGGAAGGAAGACTCGTATTCTGAGTATCTAGTACATCCTGGAAGCTGATACTTTTGTAAATCCTCACAACAATCCTACAGAGGAGGCATCATTTTACCTATTAGATAATGAAAATGAGGTTCTTTCTACTACAAAACTCCCTTTATGATCAAGAATGTTAGAATAATAGTTGAAGTGTGACTCTTCCCAACGGTCTATAAGGCCTCTCCATGTATATAAATACATAGGACGTGGTGTATACCTCTAATGTGTACACTCAGCAAACACTCATTAAGCATCCATTAGGTTCTGCAGGTATAGCAATGAACGTATAACCATCACGTCACAGACCTATACAAGTAAAATAATGAATGGTGCTAACTTACATAGAAAATTACATACATGGTATACTAACAAGTGACTTGGTGGTGCTTTTTTTTTACTGGATAAACAGAAAAATCCCTCTCTGATGTAGTGATATTTAAGATGAGATTTTTCACTAGCCAGGTGGGACAGGGGGAAAGCAATACTGGCAGAGGGAACAGCTAGTACGAAGCTCCCAATGTGAACTGAGCTTGGCATGTCTGGGGGTAAATAAAGGCCACTGTGACATGAGTGGATAATGAGGAAGTGAGGGAGGCATGAACAAAATCATCCAGGGCTTTGTAAACCATGGGAAGGAGGAGTCTGGACTTTTATTTTATATGATAGGAAGCCAATATGGCATGTTTTACATAAAGGAGGAACAGAGCCTGATTTATGTACAGGTTCTGCAGGACACAGAGCGGGGAAGGAATGCTGAAGCAGTAGTTGGGAACTGACGCAGCAGTGGGGCTGAGCTGCTGGTGCCCTGGACTGGGACGGCGGCAGGGAAAGGGAAGGGAACTGGAAGGATGATGGACTGTATCTTAGAGGTGAAAGAGAAAACTGAAGATGAGTTTCTTACGAGACACTTTTACAATACAGCTTTTAAAAATACAAACTTACCTCTTTCATGAACTGTTCAAACTCTTCATCCAGTTCTTCTTTGGCATAGTGAGCCATAATCAATAACTTTAACTTCCCAAAGTAAATGATCCAAAATATCTACAACATTGGAAACACTAAATAACAAGAAATAATAAACACCTTTTGAGGAAATTCATCTCACATCATGAAAACAACCAGACTTAAACCACAGACAATTCTCTTATCATTTAGCATATATGCACAGTTATGGAACAGTAAGCTGGACAAGAGATTCCCAATTTATTCATAAAAATAAAACTGATTTGGAAAAGCAGCTTGCCTTGTACTTAGGGTCCAGAAATACATTTTTATTGTTAACATCCAATTAATTGTTAAAGGGCGGCTTCTACACTATATACACATTTCTGCATATGTTAAAATTGAACATCCCTTAAACAAATCAGGTCCTCTCAAGAAATGTTTTAAAAATTATGAATTAGCAAATCCAAAAGACCATTTGTTTTGCAAAGTACAGGACAGTTCGAGCTGTCATATCATTCAACCAGTTATATATCAACCCATATTAACAGCTTTGCAAAACACTTTCCAGAAATGGGGATGTATCCAAATACAAATGGAATCAAATGTAAGACTCAAAATCTACCTAAAATTAATGGAGTACACAAATCAATCAGAATCAATTGTTTCTTTGGAAGCGTGGAAAAACCAACAAAAACGATGCAATGTGACTTGGAACGCAAAGCTCTCGTCTGTGCCCCTAACGCACTCAACTTCAGGTCTGCCCAGCACCGCAGCTTCTTTCTTAGGGTCGGGGGAGAGGAGAGGGAGGGGACGCGGAGACGTGAGAAACCTTTCAGCCAACCTGCAGAATAACACCTCCTCACCCTCATTAGCATTTCTGATCAGTTTTAGGTGTGTGCGGTTAAAGTCTTGCACCCACATTCTTGGTCACAGGCGGATGCCACCCAAAGGCGGGGTCCAGCTCCGGGAAGCGCGGGTTCAAGTTGGCGGGAAGACAAAGACGCACTCGCAGTTGGAGTCCAGGCGGAGGTGGTGAGTGACCCGAAACTAAAGCTCTGAGGACAGCCTCGGCCACGGGGAACCGAGTGGGAAGCAAGTGTCCATGCCTCACCTACCTTTGCCTCCGTATTCCGCGCTTTGCCGGAAGACCGGCGGGGGGCCCAGCAGTTGTCAGGGTAACAGACTTAAGCCGCCGGGCTCCGGGGTCACCTGACCTGGGCTAGTCACGTGGCTCGTGGGCCCGATTGGACGGCTGTTATAGTCTTTTTGCCCCAAAGAGTGAAAATTGGAATGACCTCGGCTCAGGATACTTTAGTTAGCGTTAAGAACCGTCGCTGCTGCGCTCATAGAGACTCCGCGGCTTTTTCTACGCTCCTTGAAAACCTGGAACACCAACCGGTCACGAAAGCAGGCACACATGCATGATGGGTGTTGTAGGCCCAGCCCGTGGGTTCCTGGGAAATGTAGTTTAGCTCTCGTCGTTCTTGTATTTCTGCACTTCTCGCCGCCTCTTTCTAAAGTTCCCCACCCGTGTTGTTTCAGCTCTCTGCTTTTCAAACGCAAGTTTTGAAAACATTTAATGTTTTGGATTTCTTCTACGTGCAAAGTCCTATGTGAGCATTGTAAGAGACACCCACACATATGAGAAAGAGCTCTATTCGGAACAGGGACTCTGTTCTACCATCTAGTGGGCAGGGAATTGAAAATACACCTTACACGCCACAACCTGCTACATTTCCTCCTTTCCCCCCATTCTATAGCGGCATCTTATAATTATTTTCTTGGAGTTTTATTTTACTTTTCTACTCTCTCTCTAAAAAAACGCAACAGTTTGGAGTTTCAGGGGACAGCACTTAGGGCAGTGAAAGTAAAATCCACAACAACTGAAAGAGATGCTGCTGGCAGACATAGGTTAAGGACCTCATCATCTTCAGCCTCAATTTTTAATTCAGCATGTGTTTATTGAGATACAAATGTGTATGTGCCAGGAGCTGTGCCCTATGACAAAGATTTGAATAATATAGGTTTTTTTAAAGCTACTATTTATTGCATGCTTAAGTTGACAGGAGCTTCACCTACATTATTTCAGTCTCTACAATCTACAAATCATTTCAATTCCATCTGTATTTTGTTTGCTGTAGGTACAAGATAATGATAGATACCAATTCTATGGCCCCACTAGGCTGCTTTCCACCCATCCCTACTATAAGCTTCTTGCAAATCATGCCTCTTTTACATTAATTTATACTATGCAGTAGCCTCAGATCTTCCTGGTCTCATCTTTAACTCCAGTCATGACTGCTTAGGACCATTTCCACTAAGCTTGGTCTAGCTTCACACAGGTGTAAGTCGACTGTGAGCCTGCAACGTAGACCTCTTGTTTTCTGATCCCTGAGGCTTCTCTGGTCCTTTAGGGAATCCATTCAGCACTCAAAACTTACAAAGTGGAAGTGTGGGGTCCTAACCTTTGTGGGCCCATCATTAACCAAACAGCACTGAAGCTGATAAATAAATGATTCCCCTCTTCAACCTCAGAATGGTCAGTGTTGATACAAATTTCATAAGACTTCTCAGAATGTCCTGTGTGGTCCAGAACCAGTTCACAGCCAATTTGATAATACACTCTTGTATTGGCTTTCCGTATTTCTCCGGTTCATCACTTCTGCTACTTGGCAACACGTTCTCATATAAATTGCTCTTATGTAGATGTATACCTCATGTACTGTTTTCAGGGGAACTGTGGGAAAGACAGCTAGTATCAGAATAAGCCTTAGAAAACAGACGATTAGGATGGGATTTGGGAACTGGGTAATCCACCAGTCAGATGGCAATGAAGACCCCACTGATAATGGGATGTGTGGTGGCGATAACCAGTGACATGCAGCTACTAAGATTCTTATATGAGGTTGGTTGGGCAGAGTTACAGGTGGAAGGTGAAGGGTTGACTTGTACACTCACTGTTAAATGAGATCATCATTTTCTGTACCTGCAAGAGAATCTGTGGTGAAAAATCAGGCCCATGGTCAAATGATCAGGACAACATAGCTGTAAAGGAGACAGAAAACGCAACCTCTTTGGGTGCACTGGGTTATGGCACTGGCAGAAAACAATGTCATCCCGAAACCTGGAATATGGGCATTTGGGTAGATGAGTGGGAATCGCTCTCAGATTTCCCTGAACTCTCCACACTGGCAGAATCAGCCTCATTCTCCTTTGTAAAGGAGAGCATCCCCTATTGCCCTGAGATCCTGAAAAGATTTGGAGTCCTCATATAAAGAATGCAACTCACAAGGTGTTGTTTGTCCTCTTCAGGATCCAGCTCTACCACTACTCATTGTCTCCATGGCACTAACTGGGATCAGATCTCAGGCACCTGAGCAGGAAAATGTAATCTTTGCTCCAGGAAGCAATCATTTCAGTAATGGCTGGTCCCACATTAAATACCAAAAGGAAGCAGGAGAGGACATGTAGGTGTTGAATTAGTAGGGTGAATAAAACAAGATGGCATAGGGAAGAATTTATTGACATGGGAACGTTCACTCATGACCTGGTGTTCAATTTCCTAGCAAGAACACCTGGAACTGATCTTACTATGTTGCTGGGATGTTTCCTTGAAGGCTAGATATGATAATGGCCAATGGGAAAAAGAGGTAGAGATACTGAAATTGCTTTGGCATAATATAAAGGAAGATGTCAGAAGGCTCATGGAGATGCGAATGTTAGACTGGATTTGTTATGTGATACCTAGAGCTTAGCAACTGACTTTGTTCCCTGGGAGAATTCATAGGGCATTCCCTTCAGTGAGACAATAAGGAATACACTGGTGAGAGGGACATCAACTTTTTAAAAACAAATTTGGTGATATTTGTCCTCCACAGATCAGTTATTAAGAGGAGATGTTGCTATGAAACAAGTCTCCCTAGTATCAGTGATAATAGGGGATTTCTGAATGGCAGAACCCATGCAAAAATACTTTATCAAAGCCAAGATGGTTGTAATTATTGACATGAGCAGAGGTCCATAGTTGTAATCAGGCTGCCTTGACTTGCAGGAATCTGTGACAAGGGATAGTAAATCAGTGTTTTGAGAGATGAGACCAATGGACAAATAACTAGATGGTTAATTGTTTGTATGTGTAACAACAACAACAACAAAATCTGAAGAGCAGAATTCTAACATCAGCTCTCACAACGGAAAATCCAGGTCCTTTACCTAACTTTTAGATTTATACAGCTTCACAGACCCAGATCTCACTGGTTAAAAGAGAGGCTGAGTGCCCTTGAGGAAGGACCCTGTATATCACAAAAATAATTATAAACATTCTCCCTATCTTTCCACAATAGGCCCTATGGCCTTTTACCCGAGTAAGACAACATATACGAAAGAAGAATGGTTAGACTTTTGGGGAACTTTGAATAAAGGGTATGAGCTGACACTAATGCCAGAGGACCAGAAAAGCCACCGTGGTCCTACAGTTAGAAGGGGGACATATGGAGGCCAGGTGAAAATCAGAAAGAAGGATATTATACTTTTCAAGGACTATTGGATAAAGGATATGAGCTGACACTAATGCCAGGGGGCCAGAAGTGCCATTATGGTTTTCTAGTTACTGCAAGGGCATATGGAGGCCAGGTAAAAATTAAAGTTCTAGCCCAAGAATGTCTCACAGAGAGGCGCAATGGGTCTGTGGCCCTTCCACCCTGAGATGGTAACAATTTATCCTTAATGGAATTAAAACCTACTATAGTAGTGCATTTTGCATTCCCAGACCAGCAGAGTCTCCACCAGCACCACTCACTGAGGGCTTACAGAATGCCGTATCCATTGGCATGGCACTCCCCACACATTGCCTTTTCTCAAGGGATTAATTCATGACAGAGGAGGTGCAACAATGAGTGCACGACCGCAGGAGCCACTGGGATTACAGTATATCTCATCACCCAGAAGCAGTTGACCTAATGCAATGGTGGAATAGTCTGTTGAAGTCTCAGCTAAAGTTCCAAGCTGGAGAAAAGATGAGATATATGCTGTGTCAACGGCTGACATATGATGGTATGTCCCTTCAGCAACCAAGGGGTGAAAATGCAATCAGCTCCTTTTACCGTTACTCCCAGTAACCCATTTTCAAAGTTTTTGCTTCCTGTCCCTGAAATCTTAAACTCTGCTGGATTAGAGGTTCTGTATTCCAGGAGGGAGAACACTTCCATCAGAGGACAAAGTAAAAGAGTTCCACAGAACTTGTCAATCACCTGGTCACTTTGGGCTCCTCATTCCAGTGATTAGGCTTCTCAGTCCTGGAACATCAAGCAAAGGGGAATAATATATTAATATATTTGCAAAACTAATGTACCTTATTACCATAAAGAGCCTGGGTAGCTGCTATACAGGTTTCTCTGGAAAAAGTCCCGCCATTGTTAATATAACAAGAATGGTTTGCATGATATCAGTGTAACCTGGCATTCAAGGAGAGTGGACTGGAATATGCATGTGTGAACAATGAAGACTTCACTGTACTGGTCAGTGGGGATGGTAGACACCATTGAGTGAGCATGTGTACTGTGTGGCCGTTGCATTCAAAAGGACTGAGTGACAGAGCAATGAATCTGCATCACATTTTGCGTTAAGCTTGAATATTTCTCTGCGGAAACTATTTGGATGATTCAGAAGACTGCAGCTATGGGCAACTGGTGATTGGCAGCTTCTTCACAACAATGTGCCCATTCATGCATCATGTCTCATGCAGAGTTTTTTGGCAAAACATCAAATCATCCAGGTAACTCAACTCCCCATACAGCCCAGATTTGGCACCCTGTGACTTCTGGCTTTTCCCAAAACTAAAATCACCTTTGAAAGGGAAAAGATAGCAGACCATTGATGGGATTCAGGAAAATATGATGGGGCAGCTGATGGAGACTGGGAGAACTGTGTGAGGTCCCAAGGTGCTTACTTTGAAGGGGACTGAGGTGTCATTGTGTTACGTACAATGATTTTTGTATCTTGTATCTTCTTCAGTAAATGTCTCTATTTTTCATGTTATGTGGCTCAATACCTTCTGGACAGACCTCATATAATGAAGGCAGGGAGAATATCCATGAACTTGTTTGGTGCATCTCCTGGTGTTTTGTGCTGATAAAGGTGAAACCTAAGGGAAGAAGGTCTGGATCACTCTCAA